GCATTCATGTTACAGGCATGTTCAATATCTTTTTTTCTTTTGTGGCTGATTCTAATAACAGAGCCAAATTTGGAATTGGTATTGGCTTGGGCAGTCATGAGTTTAAAAATAAATAAAAAATTCTTGCATAGACCATATCCTCAGATGTTTAATGGACTATTTGGGCAGCAGATATCATATGATATACTTCTTTTTGCCAACAGTTGATATACTAAAGCTTGTTTTAATCAATCTTCTTCACCTTGGTCCCTTTTAAAAGAATTGGGCTTGTAATGAAATCTAAAATGGAAGAGCTGTTCTCAAAACAGGTCAAGAATATGCAAGTTTTATCTAGTAGATATTCAATTTTTCTTGGTGGTTCTGCAGGTGGCAACTCTAATGGTCAATATCCATTCACAAAGCTTTCCAAAGTGTTTCAAATATTTGAGATGTTTGGAATAAAAGCAGAACTGCAGTAAAGATTTTAAACTTTTGTACAAAAGAGGTACAAAATAACTGCACTTAATTTCTAGTTGTGAAGACCACGGTTTTGATGGCAGACATAAAGGACTTCAGTGACATGAATGATATTTACGGTCAATGTAAGTAGACTTGCTGCTTTTTTACCAGTACAGCTTGCAGATCTGATGATATTCATTATAAGCAGTGTTCCAGTGACTTGGCTAATGTGGTCCCAGGTTCTTTGAGACTTCAGTAGAAATGCAACATGAGAACAGAACATCTGTGTGCAAGCAGCATAACAAATAAGGCCAATTAGGCGTGGATTTGTCCTACCATTTCACTAACTTTTTTATATGCAGTTTGAGCTTCTACACCTTCTAGCCTTGAAGGATGCTGTGTTGTCTCTAACACCATTCTGCTGTAGTCAGCCTTAAGATGCTTAATTTCAGACTGTGTATCTTCATTTCTTTAAAATCTGTTTGTATCTTTGACAAAGCTTAGTTTTTGTGTAAAGCTGAGCTACCCTGCTGCACTTGGAAATTAAATAACAACGCGTGGTTAACCAAATTGCCTGTAAAGTTGGTGATTAGTGAGCTACGAGTCTATGCACAGAAGTTCCTTATTTATGTAGATGTGGGTTTTGGTGACTTAGCAGTGTCTCGTGTTGAATGAAGTCTTTCTAGATGAACAATCTGTGTGTCAAAATGGAATTATGTTAAGTAAAGGGAAAACAGGCTGGATACTTGTTGCCACAGAGCCCTCCTGCCTGTTTGTAAAGAAAGCACTTGTTGCTGTTCTTTGGTGTGAGTTATCAGCCTGCCTTATCCCTGCAGGAGCCTGACTGTACCATTTCTGAAGTTGGTGTTAACTTTCACTAGTAGAAAAAACTAGGGGGAAACAAATGGGAGGCAGGAGGAGTTGAAGAGGAGAGAGTGTGGACTGAAGGTTATGTGTCTCATATTCTTGAACTTGAAACTTGATTGCGTTTTATGCAAATGATTTTCTACTCTGTTGTTTATCAAGCAAACTTTAATGATTAGTGGATGTTCTTGTTTCAATTGCAGATTTCAAATCAAACTGCCCAGCCAGAGTATCCTTTCAGGTTGCTGCTTTGCCAAAAGTAAGTGTAACTTACAAAAATGAATTCTGAAAGTCTTTGCCTCTGAAACATTATAACAGATTTCTCATTCTGTGGCAGCTTTGTTTAGTGATTATTTTATTGAATATTCTTAAGTATTTAATTTTTGCTTTTAAGTATTTCAATCTTATTCCTGCTTGTAAGAGTTCTGAAAACATGGGAGAACCTGGCAGTATGGTGAAAGATGGCTACAACCCTAGAAATGAGGGTTTCCAATACTTCAGGAAGAACACAGTGAATCTTTAACATTGCTAAATTAGTAATGCAACTGCCAGGAATATATAATTTCTAGATGTCACTCTTTTATTCACATCAGGTCATGTTATATACCCAAGGGCTTCATAAAATAGGTATTTGAAGTTCCTGATATGTTTCTTCACTGCTTTCTCACAGGGTGCCCAGATTGAGATTGAAGCTATTGCCATTCAAGGACCCATCCAGAATGTTCCAGCCTCTCTATAAGTGAAGACTGAATGTCCTACACTGAGCTTACCTGGAAAGGTGCTTTCTTCTCAATTGCAGCCTTATAGTCTATGAAATGCAAGTATACAGTGACTTCTGCAGGCAAAGCCTGAAACCTATGAGTACTGTTAAAGTCTGTTGGGTTTGATTATAGAACAGGAGCCTTATTTTGTGATGGTATTTGGGTGTTGAAGTACACATTTTAGGTGCATGTATGACAGTTACACTGTGGGTGATCAGGACGTACAAAAATCATTAATTGTAATAGTAGTTTTTTAGTAAAAATTTTAAATATTGGAGAAAAATGTGAGAAATGTGAAAACAGTAGAACACTTGTCTTGGTTAGCATTCATTTTCACCTCTGTGTTTTGGGAAATTCATTTGTATTCATTTCTAAACTGTCTGAAATGCTTTCTTTGCAGAATGGTTTAGTGCTGAGACTCAATTACACTTTTCACGCTGAAGCAATTGCTAATCAGGGCGGATAATCATTTCAGAAAGAAGAAAGTGATGCTTCTTCAAAATCACATCTTCGTAGTTACAAATCAGCTTCAAATGAATCTCTACCTGCAACATTTTTCATAATCTTTTTCATAGCCATTCAACTTTGACTGTACTGTGATTGGGGGAGAAAAAGACATTCCAATTATATGAGGGGGAAAAGCCTGTTTAATGAGAATAAATAATAATTGCATGTTTAGAAATGTGCTTGTCTCTTCTGGGAGCAAACTTTTCTTTTCCTGATTATACTTTGGTGTTCCATGAGGGGAAAAAAAAAAAAAAAAACAACCAAAACCAGCAAAACCCAACATCCCTATCTTGCTTTTTCTTTAAGAAATGATTCAAACCAAAAGAGTAGGTTCATTATCTCTTGCCCAGTAGCTATGGGTGAAAACAATCCTTCAAGAGAGAAAGCTTTCAGCTACTATGGCAGTGCAGTTCTTGGCGTTTCTCTCTGCCATTGAGAGAGAGAATGAACTTGCTTGGTGTGTTTAAGCAGTACTGAGAAGTCAGGCTGGTGTTAGCAAGCTATCCCATTCCTCTGCATTCATCTTCTATCTAAGCAAGCAGAAATGGAGGTTTTTACTTAATTTTTTTTGAAGAACTAGTTTGAAAACTAGCTGACTCATGCTAGAGTTAATTCCCTGTCTTCTCCCTGTAACTGCTTACCTAACACAATATTGGCTTTGTTTTTTTCTTGGGGTTTTTTTTGTGTTTTTAGGATAAATGAACAATTTCTCTTTACTTTCTGAACTTTGAAGCAGCGACCTTTGAAAAGTACCTGACTCTGCTACACACAAACTTTCTGCACATGAATGCTATTAGTCTTGGCTTCTCCTTGTTCTCTCTCTGGCTATACTGTCAACATCTTTTATTTTCTACAGCTTTGATTTAAGAAGTGATCCCACCAACTGCCCTGTTGGAACACAGCTGTTTTTGTAGCACAATTATAGTTCATCTTCAGCAGATCTCAGTAATGTTGAACACGAGCTAAATTCATCTTTGTACAAGAAATACTGACAGTTATGCCTCGCAACATTTTTCAGTGTAAGATGCCTGCCTTAATTGTTCTGTACTGCTGCTTTGCTGATCTTAACACCTAACACTAGATGGCAGTTTTGATTTTTATTTTCCTTTTTTGCTGGTGATTGTCCATTTGTTCTCACAGAATCACCAAGGTTGGAAGAGATCTCTAAGATCATCCAGTCCAACCGCCCTCATATCACCAGTATTTCCCCACTAAACCATGGCCCTCCGCACAATGCACAGCAATACAGAACTCCTTTGGGTGTCTTCGTTGGCACAAAGAATGTGAATATATCACTGCTTTCCCCAGAAAGGTTCAGACTGAGTCTGAAATATAACTGATGCCATCCTGTAGTAATGATTTGAAATCCACTTTTAGCTCTACTATTATCTAGCTTTTAGCTGGAGTCCAGATGCCTAAATATGTATTCTTCAGGTACACAAATAGAGCTTCTTTCAATTATTCAATCATTTACAGCTATAATGTAGCAGTTAACATAAACATCAGCCTTTTCAGGCTTAATCAGACGTTTAAAACTTTATTTTTTTTTAAAGCAGTTGTTATATTTCTTTATTCTGTTTTTTATTTCAAAAAGCAGAGCCATATAATTATCCAATATGAAACACAATTGTTGTGAGTACCTCCTTGGTCTTGGTTCAGCAACATATAAAATACTTAATAAATCCAGTTTTAAATGGACTTGAGGTAAGCGAAGCTTTTCTTTGTTTGCTAGACTGAGCTGCCAGCATGAAACAAAATGAGGTCTTCTAGTTCTGCAAAAGCAAAGCAGTTCCTAAATTTGCATATTCTCCCAGGGTTTTCTTTTAGCTTTTTTTATCCTAACAATTATGTTCCCCACAGATTAAACAATGCAAAAATAAAGCTTGGTAGACAATTTTAATAAAACTTTGTTCTCTGTTAAAACATGTAACAAAGCTTAACCTGCCTAATGTTCTGCTACAAGCACCTTGCTCTCAATATAGTATTCATCTGAAAGAAGTTATGCGTTGAGTAGAAGAGCCAGCCTTTCCAAGCCAGATTGCTGAGTACCTTCTGGGATCCTACCACTAGCATGTATATCTGCACAGATCCAGCAGGGTCCAAATTTAACTTCTAGAAGGCTGTGGTTTTCAGTAATTGAAACAAAATGTCTACCTTTCTAGTTAGAGTGGAGATCTATTCAATGAAGAGTCCTATTCCTCCTAAACAGGAGGGAGAATGACTAAAAAGGTGGATAGGACAAGGGGAATAGTTTTAAACTGAGATGGGAGGTTTAGGTTAGATATTAGGAGGAAGTTTTCACACAGAGGGTGGTGACACACTGGAACAGGTTGCCCAAGGAGATTGTGGATGCCCCATCCCTGGAGGCATTCAAGGCCAGGCTGGATGTGGCTCTGGGCAGCCTGGTCTGGTGGTTGGTGACCCTGCACATAGCAGGGGGTTGAAACTGGATGATCATTGTGGTCCTTTTCAACCCAGGCCGTTCTATGATTCTATTCAACACTTACTGTAGCACAGAATGGTAAGTGCTAGCTTGGATGAAGTTTGAGATTTAAGATTGTCTAGCTTTCGATACACATTTATGCCTTTTTATTTTGGTGATGTTTAAAATAAATGCTGAGGTACATTGTACTAGCTCTGCAGGTATATCTTGTAAACAGGTACCAGAGCATATCCTCTTCTCAGCATTCAAGCTGAGCAAGCTGTTTGATCCACAGACCAATTTCTGCCCTTGGCAATCTCTGTGATGTGCAGAGGTTTGCAGAAACAAATAACTGCATGTATTTTGGCCCTTTATGCATGGTACACATTTTAGTAGCTTAGAGACCATAAATACTAGGCCTCAGCAGGATACTGCCTTATTTCTCAAAAGAGGGATGTTCAGCATAAGTCTAGCATCTGAATTCTGATTTTGTAATTAATACAATTAACATTTCATGTTTAGCACAGTGCCAAGCATTACAAGATACGTAAAGACTGACGATGACAGAGAAGGGCTGACCTGCTGAGTCACTGGTCGGGTAACCTTCCTCTTGTTTCCAATTAGCATTGCTTCTAATGATTGAAAAAGCTGAATAAGGAGGTAGGAGTGTATACTGTCACCTGTCTTCCTTGTAACAACGGTGGCAGTGAGAGTGATTCTGAGGTGAACAGTTTATCTTGACTCTTGTATCTTCCTATTTTATTTCCAAATGCAGTCTCTGCTGGTGCTGTTAATGCTACTGGTCTTTACGGAAATGCCATCAGTTCTGTTTTTAAATCTTTCAATATATCGAGTCAAACTGCATCTCTGGATCTAACATGTAACTTGCAAGCAGTCAGCACAGCAGACTCCCTACATTTGGGTGGTGCCAGCTCAGGTGCTGGTAGTGAAACCAAATCCCCAGCATACAGGAGGAACGCAGCCCAGTCTGAAAAGATTGCTGACTGGCAGAAAACCTTAAATGCAGTGCTATGGCTAAGGAACATCAGCTAAAGGAGAAAAAGCTGATAGGCCAAGGATATCAATTAAAATATTTAATAAGGCCAAAGTCAGCTGAAGTCAGGCATGCATATGCAGCACAAAATTTAGCTTAGAGGGGACTTTGATAATTTGCTGCTGACAGTAACATTTGTTGAAGAGCTTTTGTACAGTAAAGCTAATAAAAATAGCAACCTTTTCCCTTCTGAGATGCTTGACCTTTCCTTCGTGTTCTACTTCCTTACACCAGAGGGTCTTCCAAACAGTCTCCAATAAAAATACAGACTCCCTCTGCATCACTCACCATCAGATCAAAGTTCTACTCTATTAGATCCATAAGACCAATTATATTGGGAGTTTCTTTTCAACATACATTCTGTTTGAAGGTTTTGTCATTCAGCTTCAGCTCTGAAATACTTCCTTAGCATTCTGGAACATAACACCATTCCTGAATGCATGTTTCTCCTGGAGAAACAGGGGATGGAACAATGACCTCTCCTATGGGAACAGGCTTACATAAGTCACTAGTTAGGTATCTTAGAAGCTGTGAGTGTATGTAAGGTGCTACATAGCTAAAGATGCCCCATTAATCACCATGCGTGCTAACAACTGTGGATTTGTATTTTAAGTATGCCAGACTTCAGAAGACTAAAACATTCTCCTCCTGGTTAAAAATGCCTTTCTTTTTTTTCCTCCTTTCAGTAAATATGTTTAAAAATTGAGTTAGCAGAAGGCACCTACTTGGTTACTGTACATTGCAACCTGTGTATCTTTCACTGCCTGAAAAACTAACCTTTGCATTCAGTTACACCCAGCAAATTGGCAGTTAGGGTTCCACTCCTCTGAGTGCAGCTCGCTGCAGCAGCTCCATAACCTGGTTGTGCAGGCAGTCGGAGGGGTTACCTGCACGTGCAGGAGTTCTCAGAAGTAGGACTTCCCTTTCTGACTTTCTGCTTACGCTACCATTAAAATAAAACTAAAACCAGTCTACACTATATTCTTTATCCTATGTAACGCTGAAGGTTTCAGAGGTTTGAAGTTAGAACCTGGAAAGACTCCTAATTGAAAACTGGATGGTTCTACGTCTGTCAGAATCACCCCGCGGTGCTGGCGATGTACGGAAGGCACTCTGTGGCAGGGAGGTACCAGGTCAGGTATTTCAAACACTTGAAGTCTTGGCAGCTTGACTTCAAAAACATACATAAAACCTCCTTTGATGCTTCTTATTCTGGTTTGTGGCTCCATCCATAAAAAGCTCTATTTTCCCAACGCAGCGAAATTAAACAACTTTCATGTGGACAGAAGGGCCGGCCCAACAAGAGGATGTTCATACAGACGCAGCTTCTAGTCTTTGTTACCAGTTGTCTCTGAAACACATGGAAAAAAATAACAGTTAATTTAGGGTAAAGCTTGATATTCAAAATATCCTACAGGAATTCAAGGTGTAAGTTCCCTGAAGTATCACAGCACAAAGGGGCATCTGCTTTTCTCCACGATCTGTAAGGATGTTCTGTCTGGACGTGAAGCAGCCACACACAGCTACCGGCTGAGCTTCCTCTTCTCCGACCCCAATGAGGCACAGCCTTCTTCTTCTAGGCTTCATTCATGTGAAATCCAGAGAGCCACTCAAAACCCTTAGAGTGCGTTCCCTTGTTCAGAGCTGAACCTCAACTACCTTTAAAGCACTGTTTATTTTGTCCTGCAATCAGCTCATATCTTTTCAGTCATATCCTCTCAGAGCCAAAGGCTTGGAATGCTTTGATCTCACAGTGTACGAATGTTTCCATCCCCTTCAGCAATCTTGCTTCCCTGCCCAGAACCTTTAGTTCTTCAATATCCTTTCAAGATGGAAGAACTGCTTCCTTACATAACAGCATCCCAGATGTAAATGGTCACTGTCCCATTCTTAGTGGTTTGCTTTTCATGCTCACAGCTGTTTGCTGAGCAGTCTGCACTCACACGCTCCTATCTGAGATGTACTACAGAGAAACAAGTGGGGCTGCTCTTCCTGCGTCCCTTGAAATACTGTTGAGAAAATACTACCAAAGTAAGCAAATGCAGGAAGTGTTTCAATCAAGCTGCAATTGTCACATGATAAAATCTCTTGGTCTTCATTAGAATGTCACTGGGTTGTTTTTTTTTTTGAGAAATTATCTTTCTATACCGGCCCCAGAAGCTGGCTTGTTAAACCTCTTGCAAAACCTTTCAGGTGGTCTTTCTAGTCCTGTCCAGCAACACATGCACCCTGCTGGAACACAGGAATTTGTTCTTCCCATTTACCTCCCATCAAACCAAACTCTGTGTCCTCCCAGCACATCAGGAAGGACAATGGGTGTAGAGAGACTCGCTGGTCTGTCACAGGGCTCTATGGTTCAAAGGCCAGAGCAAACACTTAGCAGTGCTAGGAGAGCAAAGACTTACCGAGGTGTGAGGGGTTCGTTGGGAAGCCATGAAAGGCAGTGGTGTAAGGACCGCCTGAAGCTGAACTCTAGGAACACCCAATAACTCAGAGACACTGGGAGAACGGTTACATGTACAAGTCATTAGGAGAGAGGGCCCATGCTGCCCCCCCAGCCTTTTCTGCTTCCTGGCAATGCCACTGGGCAATGACTGCCTTCTGGGGCACATAGACATCCACACAACTGCTGCCTTATATGGTGAACTCCCAGCAAGTGTAGGATCCTCAGTGAGTGCTGAGGAAGAAGAAATACTTGCAGAAAGAATGTGATGACAGAAAAGTGAATATAATTCCTAAGTCTGCAGGAGGGACAGTCCTAGTCCTCTTCCCTCGCATAATTCCCTTAGCTGCTGTTATGATTCTCCAAAGGCAATTCATTTGCCCTGTCATTTCTGCTTCTCCCCACATGACTGTGTTTACTGTGCAACATGCCTTCATCCCAGTGCTACACTGCTGATTTCAGCTGATAATGAAGAAAAGTGGGTTGTTCATCACAGAATAGAATCACACAGCAGTGCTAAGGCATTAACCTGTAAAAGTGAGTGTGGCAAATACTAACGAGCAGTTATGATTTTAACTTTGGATTCTATTTTCACAGACTACACTCAGCACTCTCCTCAGACAAGAATAACTTATAGTATCACAGAATGGTCTGGGTTGGAATGTATTCTGTAAAGATAGTTTATGAAAAAAAGCAGAATCACACTTAGCAAAAAGCAACAGTATTTCTTAACGTGAATAAAAATATTTATGACTGTCTTGTCATAAACTGCAAAAAGTAGAAGCTGTACCCAGGGACAGGGACAAGAAGATGTGCACACTAGGGACAGCACAGCTTCTGCCTCCTGAGCAATAACCCATGCAGTCCTTCTCTCCTCTGCCAACATACCTATCTCTGTCGCTGCTGCGCCATCCACTTCTCCTGTTTCCTCTTCTTTTGTTTCAGGCCCTCCACTTACTATCTGACTGAGCAGCTCAGTTTCCACCTGTTCTCCCGTCTCACCTGGGAACGGTAATGATGGAGATCAAATTAGGATCCTCTGTAACAGCACTGCGTGCCCAGCTCCTTCCTGATTTTGCTTTGGCAGCCCTCCAGCTCCCCTCACAGGGGCACTGCACAGAGGTACAGAGCTCAATGGGTCAGCAAGGAGCAACCAAGACACTCCCCATTGCTTTCTGTCATCCAGTCACATGCCCATAAAATCCTCCCCATGCTTTCACCAATTCCCCATGGCACTCTCTTGATTAAACTCTCTTGATTAAATAGTAAGTACCAGCTCTGCTCAAACCACTTTTTTCCAAGTTTTGGGTTTTATTTTAGGTATGTGCAGTTTTATTTGCAATGGGAACAAAACAGTACTGTGCCGTCCAGCCTGCAGCAGGGAAGCTGCTACATAATTCATCTTTACTCACACAGCTACTAAAGAAGAAAAGGAAACAAAACAAGTCCTAAGTATCTTATACACCAGGGTGTAAAAATGGAAAGGCAGTCACACACTTCATGGAGATAAAACACAAGTTCACATGCCATCATTCCATATTATTTCTAGTTTGATCAAATAAAAGCAAAACTCAAGTTCTTGCCCTGCAAGCAGCATGAGTTGCTTGGTGGCCAAAGTCCTGCGACTGATGTCCAGGCAAACATTTAGCTCCAGGTGTCTGTGTTCAGGAGGTCCCACTGCATTGCTCAGATGGTGCTGTGCTGCCTCCAGTGTTGCACCATGAGGCTTGGAAATGGTCATTAATGAAATTGGAGTTTTCAGCTGGGTGAAACTCCATTTTATACAAGTGGGCATCCCATCATTTACTTCTTACATAAAATGAGACCTTATTCCAAATGACAGATCTCCATTTTATGTAGAAGAAAACCTCAAAGCTCTTTTACAAAGAGACACAGTGGAAGACAAGTCAACGCTCATGCTCAGCTACTGGAATGCAGTCAAATTTATGCAGCCAGCTCATGCACAGCAAAGCTCCACAGTTAAGAAGCGGGACATGCAATTGGGCTCCCCATAAATCAGCCCATCTGCATTTTGCACTTCTTCAGGGTGGATGTGGAGTGAGGAAGTCTACAAATAACACATTTCTCTGCAGGGAAATACTTCTGGTGTGCTTCATCTGCTTATTCTCAGAAGAGCTGCTCCCAGAGGAAGTATCTAATTCCTTACTGGGCTGTTTTGTACCACTTAGGAGAAAGTTGATTTCTCCTGTGAAGTGTTCACCTTCGACAGACAGACATATGTTCTCAGGGCACCAACCCAAGGAGCACAGCCTCTGGCCTACATCCCAAGCTGGCAAGCCCCAGGGATCTTTGGGGAGCCCACTCCTGGGGTCCTCCACCTCTGTCTCCATTATGATTATTTGGTCACCAGGCCTCCAAAATGGTACATGCCAGGGGCACATCTAAGAGCTGCTTCTTCCTCTACAGCCTAGTCATCTACCCTCCAACTTCATGTGATTAGGGACAGTTGCTTTATTATTAACAAAGGTAACCATGTATTAGAGCTTTTGGTCTCGGCAGATAGGAAGCATTGTGACTGAGATGCACAGAAACACAGCCTCTAAATGAGGGGTATGGTTCTCACCAAGAACACAAAGGGTATGAAATGAAATAGCAGAGCTAACGACTGATTTATTACAGCTTGCATTTGTGAGCCTGAGGCTTCCCCAGCCACATCCTTATGTTCTCTGCATTGGACAGACCCCGTGGCCAAAATTCTGGCTCCAGAACTTCTCTAGTGACTCTCATTAAACTCAAAAGAACCCCCTGACAAGTCTCTGGAGACAGAATCTGGTCTCCTGAGTTTACAAAAGCACAAATATTACCCTCAATGAAGTGGTCCTCTTCAGCAATATGCACTTTCTTGATGGTTTCCACCACAACGCTGTCAGTGCCTTCCACCAGCGCACTGTCACCTGCCGGTCGTGGTGCTGGTGGCCCACCACCGTCCCTCGGTGCTGGCGGTGGAGTCCCGCTGCTTTCCTCTCGCCACACAGATGGCAGCTCTGAGCTCTGCTCCGGCGCTACACGCGGCGGCTCAGTACCCTCCGGCTCCTCTCTCTCAGGGACCAAGTCAATCTTTGGCTCCAAGGTGGGAGTCACGGCTGTGGCCTCTTCCCCTGGCAGGTGGTCGCCCAATTTCAGCTCCTCAGAGGCCAGGCTCACACCCTCCACTGCACCCAGCTTTGTTTGGTCAGCTACGGTTTGGTAATCATCGGCAATCGGGGAGTTCTCCCCCGATGATGCTATCAGTCGTGGCAAAGGAAAGAAAGAGAAAACAGATAATTCAGTGGGCACTTCAGTTAGGTGAGACGGGCCCAGCTGGGCCTGCACCACACAAGCACTGCCTGTCACAGCTCACACCTGGCTACCAACAGTACTCACACACTCACACGTAACCCAGACAGGCTGTGGACTCTCCTTCTCTGGAGATGCTCAAAACCCACCAGAACACCTACCTATAGTAGGGGTTGGACTAGGTGAGCACCAGAGGCTCCTTCTAACCCTTAGGACTCAGTGTTTCTGTGATACACAACACAATTTTACATGAAAAGAGTTGACATTTCACCTTAAGGATCTGAAGCGTGCAGCAGTTTCACCAGATGATGGGCTGCTGTTCCAGGAAGCAACCTTTCATGCCCAAAGCAAGCACAAGGTCAACATGCTGAGCATTAATCGCTGCCCCATGAACATCTGCTGGGGCCTACAGGTGGGCTACACAGAAAACTCTGGAAATACCCTTCTCACTCAGAGCGAGACCACGGCTATTTCTTAAACATCAGTGTTGTTTTTTTTTTTTTAATTTCTTTTTTGTTCCGTTATTAAATACTAAACTACCACTGACATGACTTTGCAAGCCATTCAATGACAGGAATACCCACCTAAATAAAACTTCCTCTTCTTTCACATCTCGTCAACTTAACTGAAGCAACAGGCCTTCTTGACAGGCAAAACTTATGCACAAAGAAATGCCAAAATTGCCCTGACAGGTATTCAGTGATAAATGCCGAAGACTCAGAATGAGCTCTACCTACCTATCAGGTCAGTTTAATCACTTTCTAATTAAATTCAATTTGATGACAACTTGAGCTTAACCTTCTCAAAAGGAATGTCAGGATTGAAAGACTGGGAGGTCATGCACAAAATTTGTTATGTAATAATCATGAGATCTGTCTGAATTGCATTTTCTGGGAAAATTATTACTATAGTGGCAAAGCTCGTGAGCAGAACCGCATGGCAATTTGTATACACACGGATCAGCAATGAAAATAAATGTAATACATCTCACTTTTGAATAGGCTGCTGCAATACTGCTGCTTTTTAGATAAACTCACAGCTCTTTTGAAGCACCCAAGCAAAGCAGCTCCCCAGCAAGCACCACCAAGTCAGTGTCTGCAAGCACAGGGAAGGGCAGCTGAACTGGGAAGGGGGCAGGACCAGGAGATATGAGGTGTCAAGAGATACAGAAAGCAACTTGGACTATGGGACATGTAAAATCTTGTTTGTCCTGGGAACCATAAAACCACCTGAGGAGAGGCTAAGCCCCCACCAAAAAAACATGACAAGGAGCCAGGCCTCATGCTGAGCAGTGGCCAGCAGACATCCAGGTGCTTTGCTTTCTCAGCTGCCTTCTGAGCTCAGCAGGGGACCAGAGGAGACCATGGGGACACCCAGAGGAGGACCTCTTCAGCCCACTCAGCTCCTGTGGTGACAGTCAAAGCGGGGCAGGCACCGAGCTGCTTTGTGGTCTTAGTCCTCTTCACAGTGCCTCACTGGCACTGTAATTAATCTGTGTGCCAGCTGGATGTCAGCAAGGCTTAGAGCCACGTGGTGAAACTCCAGGTCTTCAATGCATCAGTTATAAGGTATTGCCATAAGCTCTATTATGGCTTGCTTATAACATCGCATTGGGATTATACATGTTACAGCATGAGCAGGCAATAGCTAAATCTGTCGGCTTAACTTCTCTGTGTGATTTTTTCCACCTCATGATGCTTGAAAAACAAAATCTGACAATTCTAAGAATTTGAGGCCATGATTTAAAGAAGACAGCACACCGGGTTGTAACACCCCTTAAAGGCCTGAGAAGCACACACACGCAGTGAAAGGCCACTTACACATAGATCTGCAGCTGTACAGAGGTGCAGTTACAGCACATCAGCCATGTGAGACAGCCCACACTGCACCAATGTAGCAACAGAACAAGGGGAAATGGTTTTAAACTGAAAGAGATTTAGACTATATACTAGGAAGAAATTCTTTACTGTGAGGGGGGTGAGATGCTGGAACAGGTTGCCCAGCGAGATGGTGAATGTCCCTTCACCAGGCTGAAGGGGGCTGAGAGCAACCTGGTCGAGAAGGAGGTGTCCCTGCCTGTAGCAGGGAGTTGGAACTAGGTGATCTTATAGGTTCCTTCCAACCCAAACTGTTCTATGACTCTATGACTGATCCAAGGGGATCTGTGACTGTGTGTGTGTCCATCCACTGTACAGATTTCAGCAGCTTCTAGTGTTGAGTAACATTTAGTGAAAGTTACACACCTCCAAGTCTCACTGCAGCCACAAAGCACACAGTGCGCTAATAGAACAGACTTGATTTTTTCATGCATTGTTTTTTATCCCTTTAGACACTTCTCATGTCTTCACCTTGCTTAGCATCAGGTGAATGGGGAGCACTGAAAACCTAAAGGGCAGAAATAGATGAGCATGAGCCACAAAAATGAGCATGTCATAGAGAGCTTTGAATTGGTACTACCAGTAACAGCAACACAACTCTAAAAAATTAGTACTGGGATTCTGGATGAACACCAGGCCTCTAATTATATGAATTGGATTATAAAATCCTCTCATGCAACGAGACATTTGCACTGCTGGAAAGCCTTGAACCATTCCTCTGCTCTCAACTGAGATGCAAAGAATTCTCTAATACGGAAAAAACAAACCCTCCTGGTAATCTGTTCAATACCTTCGTCCTCAAGAATGAAAATCACGTGGCAGCCAGCATTCCTACAATGCCTTATTGTTTCCTTTAGTTTATCGTCTATAATTTCTGATTTGGCCATCATTTACAATTTTTCTTTTCCCTGCCACAGACAATTTCAGCAAATCGCGCATTGAGCTCAAGCAGACCATGGTTACAATGCTGTGACTTTTCTTTTTCCTTTTCAAAAGAGCCTCAAGACTTTGTGAGCTACACATCCATAGAAGGAAATGATATTTTTTTTTCTGTTAACAGCACACTTAGAGGCATCTATTTCAAATTCTCCTCTCCTATTCAACTCAGTTAGAAAACAACCAACACATCTGGCTGCTAAGAGCCCAACTGGCAGGTGACTACAACACAGGTAGGTCACGAGCAGTATTCTGCCCATCTCTGCAGTGGGTCTGCTCCATGCGCTGGCTTCATAGCAGCACATTCAGCCTCCCCTCACACAACCCACAGCACCTCAGCGATCACAACAAGCTGTAGCATTCCAGGACAAGAAATAAAGAATAAATTGCAGGTGGAAAACTTGGGTGCCGCAGCCGGAATATGGCAGCAGGGAGGTATTTAGAACTGCAGGATAGAGGAAAGAAACGCAGTAAGTTGAAAAGCGAGCAGGTTTTCCCATAGCATTGCTTCGGGATGCAGGTTTTGGAGAGCTCAAGGTAGCTACCTGCAAGTTGCTGTAATAACGGTTCCCAAACTTCGCTGGGGAAAAAATAAAAAGGGGAAACATTGCAATCGCAAGATATTAGGGAATCTTTGCAAGACGTTACGGAAAACCTGAGAGGCTGCCGGCTCCCAGGAGTGTGCACTCCAAGGAGCCGAGAGCCCCTCGGGTTTTCCCCAGCCCCTACGGGGCACGGGGAGCACCCGGCACGGCCGCCCACCCACCCCCCGGCCCCGCTCACCCCTCGTCGGCGCCCCGCTGCTGCTGGGGGGCTCCTGGGGGCGGCTGCGGGCGCTGCTGGAGCAGCCCATGGCTCGGCAGCTCCGAGGGAAGGCAGCGGGCGGGGCCGGGGGCGGGAGGGCGAGGAGGGGCTGGGTTCCCGCTGTGCGATCTCTCGAGGGAGCACGAGAGGTTTTAACACGGGGGTGTCCGCTCTTTAGTTCTTCTGAAGAAGTACAGGGAGGAGACCCCACAGCCCCCGGGCAACCTGTGCCAGTGCTCCGGCACCGCACAGCACAGCAGTGCTGCCTGGTGCTCAGAAGGAGCCCCTTCTGTGCCCACGGCTTCTTGTCCTGGCACTGGATCCCACAGAACTGAACCTGAGACTGCAGTTACAGGAGTGACAATCACAGCACAGCCCACATAGGAAGGGACCTCGAAAGATCATCAGGTTCAGACTTTGTGGGAAAAAGGAGTCTGGATGAGATTACCTGGCACTCTGTTCAACTGTACCTTCAAATCCTCCAGTGATGGGCATCTGATCAAGTCCGTGGGGTGGTTGTTCCAGTGATTCGTAGAATCATAGAATTATTAAAGTTGGAAAAGACCCCAAAGATCATCTAATCCAACCTCCAAACCATTCCCACCATGCCCACTCACCACGTCCCTCAGTGCCACCTCCACACAGTTCTTGGGCACCTTCAGGGACAGCAATTCCTCCATCTCTCTGGGCAGCCTATGCCCATCCCTTACCATCTTTCTGAGAATAATTTTTTCCTAATAACCAACATGAATCACCCCTGGTGCAACTTCAAGCTACTACCTGTAGTCCTATCACTGTTACCTGGGAGAAGAGGCCAAGCCCCACCTCGCCACAGCCTCCTTTCAAGCTGCTGTAGAGGACAATAATGTCTCCCCTGAGCCTCCTCTTCTCCAGACTGACCAATCCCAGGTCCTCAGTTGCTCTCTCTAAGACTTGTGCTCCAGACCCCTCACAGCTTCTCTGTCTTTCTTTGGACATGCTTCAGGGCCTCCATGTCTTTCTCACAGCAAGAGGCCCAAAGCTGAACACAGCACTCAAGGTGCAGCCTCACCAGTGCCGAGGGACAGTCACCTCCCTGCTCCTACTGGCTGCACTATTTCTGATTCACTGTCCTCACAGCAACCTGATCTAGCTGTAGGTGTCCCTGTTCACTGCAGAGGAGTTGCACTAGATGACCTTTAAAGGTTCCTTCCAACTCAAAGCAATTCTATGTTTCTATGCTAAAAAATTCCTTTCGTAGTTACTGTTCACAAGAGCAGTTCAGCTCTGACTGCTGTCTGCACTTATGATGTACACGGGCTCCGGTAGCAGTGTGTGGAGGTGCTGCTGAAGGCACAGATCTGCCTGTGTCCTCCATCTCCATGTGTCTGTGTGCACACACATGGGGCAATGGCTCAGCCTGCCAACCCAAAGGCATTTCTTGGTGGCAGAGCCCTTTGGGGTCGGTAGCCACTTGTAACATCCTTGCCATCAGCCTTACGGGTAAAACAAAGCTAATAGGATTTTTATATTTGCATACAGGCAATTCAGCTGGAGTCCACAGGGCTTAGTATTTTTGTAGAGAAAGGATGAAAAATGTCATATACTTGCTTGCATAAGCAAGTCCAGTGTAAAGCATCATTTCTTAGAGTAGGTGGCCAAGCCACCATAATAGACTCATTATGTATTGGGCACTGAGAAGAAGAAAGATGGAAGTTACATTGTGCTCCTTTTCCTTCTTGAGAAGTTTTGTCCCTGCTTCTCTCCATTCCTCAACCAAAGGTAAGTGGTGTAGAACACACCTGCCATCCATCTTACTGAAACTGTGAAGAAATGAATTCCAGATTTACCTGGGCCAGAGAGAGAGGACACGTGTGGGTGTGCATCAGAGTGCTTGCTGAGAGGGACAGGGCTGCTTCCGCACTTTGTGTTCTCTGAACAGACCCTGGGTAGAGCAAAGAAACAGTCCTGGGCTTAGGAATGGCTTGGACCATTTGGCAGCAGCTCCTGAAATCACTAATGGACAAGGTGGTGCTCTTTCTCCCTTTGTCCCAAGTAATGGGAAAGTTCCACTTTTTCAGCAGGAAGATGGGATGTGAGGGCCGGAGGCGGAGGCAGGCAAGACAGGGTTGCAGCTCAGCATCTGGCTCCTTTGGGATGAGGCAAACATGGTGAACCAGCTCTGGGATACCGGAGGCAGGAGCTCCAGTGACACAGCACTCGAGGGGATCTGTGCCACCGCCACTTATTGCCTCAGGCCTGGACAATATGTGCCCTCTGCAGATCAGCCAACACGAGCACATCTTGCTGCCCCGTGCCATAGTTTGGCTGGATAAGACCCTGAGCAACCTGATCTAGCTGTGGAGGCCCCTGTTCTGTGCAGGGGAGTTGGAGCAGATGGCCTTCAGAAGTCCCTTCCAACTCCCAGGATTCCATGATTGTATGATGGCAGGTGTGCTGCTCATCTTTGACTGGCATTACTCAAGACATCACTGTGCAAACAAGAAGTGGTGCACACCCCCAAGCAAGCCCCACAGAGGCAAGACAGGGCTGGGGCTGGTGCCAGATAGGCTCAATCTTCTGATTTCTACTTTATATATGGCACACAGCTATATTAGCACGCTTATCTGTTGGTCTAAGTGGCAGCGATGCGTACCTGCTAGTGAAATTGAAAGGCGGAGAGCTTTGGAAGTAGGAGTCTCAGGAATAGAGAGACAGAAATATGGAACAGCAAAGAATACAAGGTTCCTGGGTGTGGTGGGTGGTTGGAGAAGTTGAAGGCAGGAAGGGGAGATGGCATGGGAGCATGGGTTACCACAGCAGCAGCTACAAGCTATGCTTGTACTTGTTCTGAGCCCCAAGTGACCCAGCAGCTGCAGCACTGTGCTGGCATATGGAAGTCCTTCACTACCTTTCCCCAGCCAGGGCAACTCCCCACAGCTTTCCTGCCACCTCCAACTTGAGCCGCCCTGCTTTGTCCCTAAATGAAGGCAGTGCCCAAGTAGCTAAAAAAATAACCTTTGGCGATATGCAAACTAAACAATCACCTCGAATAACTTATTTTTACAAAGGAAAACAATGTGTTTTATTCAGAAACACATATCAGGGAATTAAAATAAAATGTAAGCCGTGAGCGTTCAGTGACAACTATAGCTCCAGAGGTAAAGCAACAAATACCTATATATTGTCTTACTCGAGTAGAAAGATGCTGCTAAAAGCAATCTTTGCAAAGATTGACAACAAGGTCCTGGCGATTTTTAACTTCTCCAGGCCAGTGCTTCATGATCAGGTTTGTGTCACTCATTCTGGAGCTCACAGCTGTTCCTAATTTTGAGTATTTTAGACAAGATTCCTACTGCAACTGTAAATCGATGTCTATCTGTTGATCCCTGAAACAACACAGACACATCCTGGGACTTAGCAAATTACTGTAGACTTTTCAAAACAATATATTAATAATGAGATTTCTTTTTTGAACTGACTCCTTTTCTCAACTCTTTGGCTATTCTTTCCCAGAAGAACAGTGCTGAGCAGGCAATAAGATATTCTAGATAGTTACTGTGGCAGACAATTCAAGCCAGATTTTCCATGGCTAGAGATTTGTGTAGCTCCACTTGCGTCTGCTCTGTGATGGTCACTTACACAGTGCAGAAAGCTGCCTCCTAAAACACAACTCTTTATTTTGCCTGGGAGGGCAATGGCTGAGAATCTAAAGATCTTCTTATCAGACTACCTTCTGTTTTTAGAAATCTGCATATTTGGATTTCTGCACAATTATGCCCCTAGAAATGTAAATACTTTGTTTTAGTGGCACCCTTTTTAAGATTGCTATATGCTTATCTATTTATGTATGCATGTGTTCATATATGTCTGCATATATACACTTGTGCATACACTCCTTAGCATCCTTTCACAGACCAAAAGCATAACCAAGGTGTAGAGCTATCCAGATGTTCACGATAGTATTTAACCTCAAGATTTTCCCTGTAGTCTAATAGGTAACCTTTCTTTCTTTGCTCAGCCCATTTTCCTCTACAGCTCCTTTCCTTCCTCCCGTCCATTCTCACAGTGAAGTCAATGGAAGGATGTCTGAGCAGAGATTTGAATACTGACTCCACAGACCTCTACATTACTTGGATTCCAAATTCCCAGCGGTCCGAAACAAAGATCTGTACGTACTTGGCTGACAATGAAGGGGATAGTTCAAGTTCATGACCCTGTGAAAATTGGATGAACATGTTTGAATTTGCTATAATATGTGATTATGATCAGACAACATAGTCTGTCACTTTTAATAGCCCTGATGAGTGCAAAAGAATGCAGGTGTTCACACAAAGTTGTTGTATAATTGTGCAGAGATTTTGATAGGGTTAAAAATGTAGGAGAGAACAGAACTATATTTCCAGACTATACCTTTGCATATTTTGCATTATTGTTCAGTTGATGACTCACTGCCTACAAGAGCATACATAATTACTGCTCTGACCTTCACTCTACTGTCATAGGATTATATGTAACGTTCAGAAAAGCAGGGCAACTACTCGATTAGAAAGTTGATGGCATGATTATCACTGCATTGGAGGAGGCAGCGTCTCATGTTCTACAATATGGGGAACAAGTTGCTTTGGGATCTCTGTGCACAAATGCACGTGCCTGTGCTGCACAGACAGGTCTGCCTCCGCACAGTGTATCCAGTACTTACTGACTGCAGCTCAGCTGTCGCAAGAGACCTCATCCATGACCTCAGGCAGCTCCATCTGTGAAGGAAAACTTGTTAATTTGCCTGTTTCCTCAAGGATTTGTACACTTGGCTACCATTGCTTGCACTGCAGTGTTGTGATATGCCAGTGTCAGGGGCATACAACCTCAGTAGGTCCCTGCCTCACTCTTTTGCCTCCCTCCCCCCTGGTGCTCCTCCCACCCACAGCAGGACATCCCATCACTGGTGTCAACACCATTGTGCGACAGCATTATGAAATGATTACTGGTTTCAGCTCAAAACAACTCTGAGAAAAAGAAAGGAAGTTCAGGGTGGGACCTCCTTTTGCTGCCATCTCTACTGAAATTGATGCACCATGAAGTTATGACTCCAGGTAAAACACAGCAATGACTCATGACACAGTAATTTGTGATCACAAGTCCAGAATCAAAGAAAATGACAGGTTGCCCAAGGAGGTTGTGGATGCCCCATCTCTGGAGGCATTCAAGGCCAGGCTGGATGTGGCTCTGGGCAGCCTGGTCTGGTGGTTGGCGACCCTGCCTGTGGCAGAGGGTTTGAAACCGGATGATCTTTGAGGTCCTTTTCAACTCAGGCTATTCTATGATTCTATGAAAATGAGGTTTCGTTATGATCATGCATAGTTTTCTTCTTTTAGATTACTCAGAACTGCATTTGTTGCATTTTCCTCCAGGAAATGATAAAAGCACTCTCCAATTTTTTAGATAGGTCAATGTGACTGTCCTCCATCTTCCACACTGCTCATTTATGTCTCCAAATACCTTCACCTGGTGTTTTCTTACACAGTCCCATTATATGTGAAGATGAAGTTGGTGAGACACCTTGAGGACCATTGCCATCAGAGTACTGTAAATGCCCATCTGCTCAAGCTGCTGACATTTAGTGAAAGAGTGAGCGTATAATAAAGAACTTTCAGATGCCAAAGCCTTTCCTTACTTATCATGTTGCCTTTACCTGACTTGAAACAGCCCTGTGGATTAATAAAAAACATTCTATGGACAACAGACTCTCAGGAGGTGCCTTTGCAACTACACAAGGGAGATTTGGGGTGTGAGAGACAATTGGAAGCACCTGTTTCTGCTCGTGTTTCCCCACACATACAGATTTCTTCAAAGTCCCTTCCAACCTAAGCCGTTCTATGATTCTACATTTAAGGCCACAACTTGGGTCCCAATGACTGAAGTCTCTGATGGAAAGTTATTCCAGAAAGGCATTTTTTTGTTTGTTCATTTGCTTTCTTTCAAAATGTGACACTGTTTTACAAGTTCTTAAGTATTACATTTTTTCCTAATTTGATCTCAGGTTGCAAAGGGCACATTTGCAGACAGCTCCCTCTCCAGGAGATGTAGGGCTTCCAAATTTAGATAACATAACACAGGTGACAGCAAGATAACATAAGCCATGGGTGTCCGACCTTTTGGCTTGCCCAAGCAAGTCATTAATTTTCTATTTGCTAACCCTTTTACAACTGTAAAGGCAGGTTTAGATGAGAACATTTTGAAATTATTTCTGAGTATGAAATATACACGTGTTTCAGATTGTATCCTAACACACTCAACTTATTATTTTCACATGAAAAGAAAACGCGGCAGCTAAATACACGATTCAGTGAACTTACAAATTCTGAAACAAAGTAAATGTGGGTTGTAGTGCGAGTCCTCTGGAAACCTGCCTTGAGCACGGTTGGATTAGCACACTGATACCCGTTTGTTTGGGTGATTATTACTTGTATATCGCCCCCGCGTGGTTCAGCTGGGCAGTGTGCCACTGAGAAGGCGGTTCTTGCAGAAATATTTGGTGAGATGTGTAGGCTTACACCAGAAAAAAATCAGTGCCGAGGTAGCTATGCCAGTAGAAAGGTGCATCAACGTATTACTACAAATGATTTCAATTTGTTGATTAAGATAAGCTACATTAACAGTAACTCAATGCAGCATGTTTTCCCTTTGCTTTTTAGTTAGTTATTACATAACGCATGTTGGTAAAAGCATCGAACTTCTTGAACTCAGCAAATACAATGTTCTCCCATGCTTATGCAAACTTAGGCAAACATAGAAAAGATTTCATGCTAGTTTTGTCATTTCATCTATCATAAAGCGTATATGTTGGGGTTCATATCATAAATTCATAGAATGGCTTGGGTTAGAAGGGACCTCAAAGATTATCTAGTTCCAACCCATTGGCAGGGCTGCCCCCCACAGCTCAGGCTGCCCAGGACCCCATCCAGCCTGGCTTTGAGTGTCCCCAGGGATGGGACACCCACAACTCTCTGGGCTGCCTGTGCAAGGGCCTCACCACAATGTTGCACACATTCCAGTACATCTTATGAGTGTGAAGTTTCATCAGCAGAATCATAGAATGACAGAATTATTGGAGTTGCAAGGGACCTCTGAAGGCTGTCTAGTCCAACTCCCCTGCAATGAACGGGGACATGCACAGTTAGATCAGGTTGCACAGGGCTTTATTCAACCTCACCTCGAAAGTCCCCAAGGACGGGGCATCAACCACATCTCTGGGCAACCTGTTTCAGTGCCTCACCACCCTCACTGTGAAATATTTTTTCCTTATATCTAACCAAAATCTACCTTCTTTGAGTTTGAAGCCATTTCCCTTTGTTCTATCACCACAGACCCTGGTAGAGTCTTTCCCCTTCTTCCCTTTATATATTGGAAGGTCTCTATCAGGTCACTTTGCAGTCTTCCCCAGGCTGAACAGCCCCAGCTCTCTCAGCCTGTCCTCAATAGGAGAGGTGTTCCATCTCTTGGATCATTTTTGTGGCCCCTCCTCTGGACACGCTCCAACAGGTCTTCTCTCTCTCCTGTACTGAGGACTCCCCATCTGAACACAGTACTCCAGGTAAGCCCTCACCAGAGCAGAGAGGCAGGATCACTTCCTTTGTCCTGCTTGCCACGCGTCTTTGGATGCAGCCCAGGATACGGTTGGCTTTCTGGACTGTGTAGGCACATTGCTGCCTCATGTCCAGCTTGCCATCCACCCCTCTAGGGACGGAGACAGCACTGTGCCCATCCACGCAGCCCCATGGAGAAAGCAGGACTGGAGGAACCTTTGCCTCGAACCAGAAGCCAGCTTTACGAGACGTGCCCAAACCCAAACCCGCCCACACGAGCAGTCTCTGTCCCAGAGCTGCCCGCACGCAGTAGCACACGTACAATCGTAATTCAGCACGCGGCCAGGGGCTGCATTTCACAAGCTCCAACCTCACGAGGAAGGGAGGCACCTGGGGCTCTACTCCGCAAGGGGCTTCCTGGATTGGTGCTTAAAGTCTCCCGTCGGGCTACGAAGAGACAAAATCGCCCTGTGAAACGCAGCGCACTGTAGGCAGGGGAGACAGGCAGAGACAGCGCCAAGCCTTCTGAGCCGCCTCAGCCACCACAGACGGCCGCGCGCCCACAACCCCGCCCTACTAACGGCGGCCGTGCGCAGCAGCAGGAAGGTGCGGGGAAGCTCTCGCGAGAGGCGGCGCGGAGACGTTCTCGCGAGAGGTGCAGCGGGGATAGGCGGTGCCCGCCGGGCGCTCGCTCCTTTCTGGCGGCCCGGCCATATTGGTGGCGCGTGTCCGGTGAGTGGGGCTCGGCCGGGCGGCCCGAGGAGCCGCTGTTGGGCGCTAACCCGACCCCTGCTGCTCCTGTCTTCCAGGTACCGCCCGACTTAACGGCAGGCAGCGACGATGGTGGCCGCAAAGAAGACGGTGAGTGGGAGCGGGCCGCGTGTGGCCTCACGTGGCGGCGGCCCGGCCTCCGCCGACTGCGGGCGCTGCGCGCTGCGGTGCGGCCGTGGTGCCGGGGCGCTCCGCCGGGCCTGAGGTAGGGAGGAGCGGCCCCGCGCGCGGTCTGAGGCGGGGTGGCGGGGGGAGCTGCGCGCAGCTTGAGGCGCCCGAAGTGGCCCTTGGGCCCGTAGCTCTGAGCGCAGCACCGCGGCTCCTCGTTGCCGGCTTCTCTGTACTCGGTTCTCTCCTGTGCAGCATCCTGGTTGCTTCTGGGTTCCCTGCCCCAGCCGGAGGCAAGGGAGGCTGCAGCTGTGCTCATAGCGTGGTTAAAGGGCCGCAGCGTTTGGGTTTTGTGTTTCCTGATAACTTCTAGTTTTCAGTCTTAAAGCTGCTGCAGAAGGTATGAGTTTCGCTTGAGATGGCGGTGTTCGTTATTCCTTATTGGCTGTCACGCACCTATTGGAGGGGCTGCACCCGCTGCGTGTGGTTATTTGTTTCTGCCAACCAGAGGAACGCCTGTTAGTGCATGCCCTGCAAAGTGCCAAACTAGGAATGCGGTCAGGTTTGCGGGGTAGAGGTAGTTTATATTTGAACTATATTTGAATATTTGATCTGAGTTTTGTAAAGGCAAAATTAGAACTCTGTGATGTGACTGGGTAACATAGTTGGCAGTAGCAGTGCTTTTAATTACAAAGTAGAATCATAGAATCACAAGGTTGGAAAGGACCTACAAGACCATCTAGTGCAACCGTCTGCCCGCTACCAGGTGTAATGTAGTAATTACTACATTACCAAAGTAATGGATAAAAGGTATTTTGTAAAGTTGACAAACAGTACCAGCATCTTGCTTACCTACAAGCTTTCTTATAACCGTATGGCGTGCTGGCTTTTTTATTCTGCCTTGCAAATAACTGGGACAAGATTGCGTGTGATTGGAGTTTCTTCACCTTACGTTCTCTGCCACTTTGTGAAAGGTAAAATAACATGTAATGAAACTCTTATTTTTGCAGAAAAAGTCCCTGGAGTCCATAAACTCCAGGCTTCAGCTGGTGATGAAAAGCGGTAAATATGTGCTAGGATACAAACAGACTCTGAAGATGATTCGTCAAGGCAAAGCCAAGTTGGTCATCCTAGCCAACAACTGTCCTGCTTTGAGGTAAGCAGGTGTACGAAAAAAAATTGTTAAAAACTAAGGCAGGTGCTTTGTAGATCTGCAGATGTGATTCATGCAAGCTGGTAATGCAGAGTAGTTTGTACACATACTCCATAGTGCTGTGAAATAAACATGATGAGTTGTTTGGTGTATACAGACTGTAGGTCTGGATGTGTTACAGTGCTTTCCAGCTGTTTTATAGCTTTCTCATACAAGAAGTTTGCCTTGCAGAAGATTCTGTAAGCTTTTTCACACTGTGAAATCAGCATTTCATGCCTGGTCTGGTGGGAACTGTCCCTGCACACGGTGGGGTTGGAGCTAAGTGATCTTCATGATCCCTTCCAACCTAAACCATTGTGTGAAAGTGTAGTGAGACGCAATTCCTGATTTATCAAAGTTGGTACTGGAAAATAATTTTACAAGTAGGAAAAACTAGTAATTGATAGCAATTTAAAATGCTTGAAGCATAGAACTGCTTGTAGAAATGTTTGAAGCTGTTCTAGGAGAATGAAGTCTTCAGTAATCTTCATCTCCTGACACAGTCCTTACTGAACTTCTGGTCCCCTTCTGTCAGCAGTGAGTATCAACAGATTAAAGGAACTGCAGATACAGGAAAAAGAACCAACATAGATACTTGAGAAACGGCGAGACTGTTTTATTCTTGGCAGGAAATAAATGTGTTTTTCTAGGCAGAAAGATTCTGGATTGAAGTACAACTGTGAATTTAAGCTGCTTTTGTTGTACAGTCAATCAAATTGTTTGCCAGTACTTTAATACCCAGTTTTTGAATCTTAGAAAATCGGAGATTGAATACTACGCCATGCTTGCAAAGACTGGTGTCCATCATTACAGTGGCAACAACATTGAATTGGGCACAGCATGTGGAAAATACTACAGAGTGTGCACGCTGGCTATTATTGACCCAGGTACGTGTCTCCTGCCATATAATGAACAAATTGGGTATGTATCAGTGGTTCTTGCATTCACCTGTGAGTAGCAGTGCTTAGCAAGTAAGGTGCAGATGTACGGTCATATTTTGTTGGTCTCCTTTGCCTTAAACTAGTCCCAAGGTCTGTTCTTACTTTGTTAGTCCAAGAATCGGTTTCTTACATTTGCACACAGCTCCTTTTACTGTTCAGCTTTGTTAATGTAGGATCTTGGTAAAATAAATGGCTGGATTGTGAGTTGTCTTGTATCTACAGAAGGAATAAGCTATATGCAGATGGATACTTACCCAGTGCAGAGTTGAAAATCATATTAAATGTTAACATTTTCAATGTGTGCATAATTACTGTTGCTTGGTAGCACTCTTTGTTCCAGAGAATTGTTCAAGCTCATTCTGGAGAACTACTGAGTACATGATTTCTTATCTTTCTTCCAAAATTTTATGACGAGAATCAGATTTATCTTACATTGTTCAATTTGACCAAAAGCATTCTAATTAAATGCATACGTGGATTTCTGTTTTAGCTACTCCCAGATGTTGTCCAAGTAGCATCAGTTTAAATTCCCTGTTTCTTTAGAAACCTTTATTTAGCTTGTTGGTGTTCTGATAGTAGCTGTAAGCTTATGTGTAAGCTAAAGAAGTGGAGCTTAGCCTTTCTGCTGTGCAGTACCATGCGAATATTCTCGCTGTCCTGATGCTGTGGTGATCAGGGGAGGCTAGACATTCGCTATATTAAAACTGTGCATTGTGTCCTCCAGGACTGGACTGCTGCTCTAGTACTGGCTTTGGAAATGCTAGTGACATAATTATCATATTTTAGCATATTGTGCATGGATTAGCAAAAATGCAGTTACAATATTTTTTAAGTCATCAAAATTACTTTTTTTTCTAATTAACTATCTTTGCATTGCTTGAGTGCTTTGACTATAGGGTCACTTGAATTTATTTTACCTATTTCTGGGAATGGATCTTCTTGCAATAATGTATTTTTGTTTTACAGGTGACTCTGACATCATTAGAAGCATGCCAGAACAAACCAGTGAGAAGTAAATGCTGTAAAGGTGGTCTTTCTACAATAAACTGGTTTCAGATCTGTTTTAAGAGAAATTTGTATTGTATTATACTTCTGCTGGTATTAGAGAACAAACTATAAATGAAGATTCGTTATCACTGCTGTCTGTCTTGTTCTGTTAGAAGTAACCTTCACAGGACAAAACTTGCTTGTTGCCTCCTGTAGAAGTTGAGCTTCAGTAGTAAGACCTGACCGTGGTAAGTATCAAATCCCAACAGGCTGTGGCTTTCTTAAGGTTTTGGTTTTTCTTTTGAGTGCTCATAGGAAAACAAGTTGTAATGAGGTAGTGGCAAATTTGGGATGTTGGTGGGAGACTCCACAGGATTTACTTACACTTAATTTTTTAACACTTTTTTTTTTAAACTTAGTCACAAGCTCTTAATGCAAATTACTCTTCTTGTCTCTTCTTTCCAAGAGAATATGTGTGTCACGTGCAAACCAACTAGCTGCTAGACGTGATGTACAACATTACACTTTCAGTAAGATACCAAATTGAACATCTCCAAACTGGTCTGAAGTCAGTACCTTTTTTTTTTTAAAAAAAAAAAAACAACTTTCTGAATGTGCTGTGGTAGAGTGTGATTGAGGTGATGTTCTCAAGTCACTGTTGAGGAGGATGGTGCTATCTGCTGGATTTCTGCCTTTTTTTTTTTTTTTTTTTTTTTACCACAATTTGAGGATATTTGTTAGTGCTATGTACACTACATGGCATATTGCATTTTGCTGACATGTGGTTAAAGGGATGCTTAATGACAATCATTTGAACCAGCAGCCCTGAAGAACTTGCATTCTGAAGTGTATTAAAATACAAGGTGCTTCTTTGTACACATGCATGATCATCAGATCCATAATCACTTAAACCTAATTTTGCTGCAACTATGTTTCTGATATGGAATGGATGTGGTTGTGTATTTCAAGTTGGAGACAGTAAAGAAGCAAACACATGTGAAGCAAAGAAGGAATAGTTGGAGTATGCATCTACTGAGGTCCGAATTTGGATCAGTTCAGTACTGTTCAGGTACTGTTGTGGGCATGGAAAATAAAGCTATAAGAAGAGGGCTTTTGCTGTTACGAGGGCAGAAGTAAAACTTCAGTTGGCCTTAAGGTACTTCCAGAATGGCTGGAAGCAACTTGCTGTTTCATTTTCATATTAGCATTTGATGAACAAATGTGCAGCTGGTTTTATTGCCCAAAGAATGTCTTCATATTAAAATGCCAGTTGTATTCTGGGAAGTTCAAGAACTGCTGAATGCTCACCAAGACCGAAGAGGGAAACATCATCGTGTCTGAATCTGGCAAGAGAAACAGTACTTGGAATTTCCAGCTGTGATGCTCTGGTAACTCAACAGATTTCCCACTTCATTTACATTCATCACCATTCAACAAAGGTGTATAAATGTGTATTTCTACTTCCAACTGATTTCTGCAGTCTGCACGTGTTGGAAAGATTGTATGGAACCTAGTTGCTGTGAATGCAGTTCTGTTTTCACATATGCGTGTGTATACATACACAGTCACACAGATAGAATGCTTGAAATAGCAACGGTGAGTGGAGGAGGAAAGTACAGAAAAGCAAGCCAAATAAATTCACAGCTTAAAAATACTTCAAAACGTGGAGTTTTCACATGAAAAAATAACAGCATTTTAATGTTTTGCATAGCTTCTTTTGGTTAAGTTCTACTTAATGAGGATTTCTGCTAGTTGCTAAATTGTTTTTATATATAAACTTTCAAAACTTATCTGCAGTCAATGCAAGACAGAACAGGTATAGATGCAGGGCTCCAAAATACTTTTTAACTTTAGACAAGGATTTGTTATTTTACTTTGAACTGGTGTAACAAAATAGCTCTCACAACATTGTATGTATAAATACACAGTGTAGTATAAGCTTTAAATTTTGATCAGTATTTTAGTCTGTTTTCCAAGTCTTCCATCCTCTTTGTCATTTCTTCCAGTATATAGAAGTTAAGGAAAGAGCTGATGATGGTGTGCAGTAATATTAAAAAATGCCAGGTGTCTGAGTCAGATGTTGCTGAGCATGACATTTCTGCTAGGGCCCGGACGTGTGCACTGACTTGAGATGTTAACTGTTAACGCTCAGCTTTACTATCAGTGTATATCAGCATATTCCCAGTCTGTGAACAGGTGAACAAACACTTGGACAATGTTGGGTATGGAGCACAAATCTTATGGGAGCTGCTGAGGAAACCTGCTGAGAAATTGTTGGAGACCTTACTCTCTCTACAACTGCCTGAAGGGAGGTTGTGGCAAGGTGGTGGTGGACTTCTTCTCCCATGTAACTAGCAGTACGAATAAAGAATGGACTCAAATTGCACTGAGGAGCTTCAGGTTGGACACCAGGAAAAACTACTCTAAAAGAGTGGTCAAGTGCTAGAGTGTGCTGCCCAGGAAGGTGTGGAGTCACCATCCCTGGAGGTGAAGAGCTATGCAGATGTTGTACAGAGGGATATGGTTTAGTGGGAAATACTGGTGATAGGAGGATGGTTAGACTTGGATTGTCTCGGAGGTCTTTTCCAACCTTGGTAATTGTGTGATTCTAGTGCTTATAGCATCATTCTTAGATGTCTCCAAGATGAGCCATCTACATGGAGGTCTTAAGGTACTAGTACTGCCAGCAAGACCCTGGAGGGCTCTGTTAGCCTGACTGTGGACAGACATGTTTAACTCCACAGTATTTCAGTCCAAAGCTGTTCTTGTCTAGGAAGCACACAAATAGCTGCTTATATATCACTGCACTTCTTGCAGAAACTAAGTGCTTACTGGTCATCTATTCGACTCTTAGAAGACTTAAACAGAAGGTGTGATGCCTTCTTACTACTTAATTTGATTATGTAGAAGCAGGTTTTATGAAGAAAATCCAGGAGTTTGCTGTGTATGTAATGTTTGGTGCAGAATACATGAGAAACTTATTGCCAGTTTTCTGCTGAGACCTGATGGATGTTTAAGATATCATAAAGGCTACTCTAGTAACAGCTCCCTTGAAAAGAGAGCCTAGCTTGTGGAAGGCTGTTGATGTGGTTTACCTAGACTTCAGCAAAGCCTTTGACACTGTCTCCCACAGCATTCTCTTGCAGAAGCTGGCAGCCAGAGGCTTGGATGGGTACACTCTTGGCTGGGTAAGGAGCTGGTTGGAGGGCCGGGCACAGAGAGTGGTGGTAAATGGAGTCAAATCCAGCTGGCGACCAGTTGTGAGTGGTGTTCCCCAGGGGTCGGTGCTGGGGCCTGTCCTCTTCAATATCTTTATTGATGACCTCGATGAGGGCATCGAGTGCACCCTCAGTAAGTTTGCAGATGACACCAAATTGGCTGGAAGTGTGGATCTGCCTGGGGGTAGCGAGGCCCTACAGAGGGATCTGGACAGGCTGGAGAGCTGGGCTGAAGCCAATGGGATGAGTTTCAACAAGGCCAAATGCCGGGTCCTGCACTTCGGCCACAACAACCCCAGGCGACGCTACAGGCTTGGGGCGGTGTGGCTGGAGGACTGCGTAGAGGAAATGGACCTGGGGGTATTGATTGATGCTCGGCTGAACATGAGCCGACAGTGTGCCCAGGTGGCCAAGAAGGCCAATGGCATCCTGGCTTGCATCAGAAACAGTGTTGCAAGCAGGAGCAGAGAGGTGATTGTTCCCTTGTATTCAGCACTGGTGAGGCCGCACCTCGAGTACTGTGTCCAGTTTTGGGCCCCTCACTGCAAGAAAGATGTTGAGGCCCTGGAACGTGTTCAAAGGAGGGCAACAAAGCTGGTGAGGGGTCTGGAACACAGGCCATATGAGGAGAGGCTGAAGGAGCTGGGAATGTTCAGCCTGGAGAAGAGGAGGCTCAGGGGAGACCTCATTGCTCTCTATAACTTCCTGAAGGGAGGTTGCAGTGAGCTGGGGGTCGGCCTCTTCTCTCGTGTCATCAGTGACAGGACCAGGGGGAATGGCTTCAAGCTACGGCAGGGGAGATTCAGGCTGGACATGAGGAAGTATTACTTTTCAGAAAGGGTGGTCAGGCACTGGAATGGACTGCCCAGGGAGGTGGTGGAGTCACCGAGCCTGGGGGTGTTCAAGGAAAGACTGGATGTTGTGTTGAGGGACATGGTTTAATAGGAGCTATTGGGAATAGGTGAACGGTTGGACTGGGTGATCTTTTAGGTCTTTTCCAACCTTGGTGATTCTATGATTCTATGATTCTATGAAGGGCTATCAGTGTGCACTTAACTCCTTTTTCTATGTGTATTCTTACAAAATTAATCAGACTGCGTGTCCTTTGATTCATCTACATTGGGAATCTTATTTAAAATGCCTTAAAGTGCTTCACCTAGCAGTCAAGAAGGGAAATACCTCCTGATCCCTGTAGCTACTAAATGATCTTTTGTTATGATCCGAAGTAAACAAAGCAAAGAGTGTTAGGCTTGGTTTTTGACTAGTCCTTCCTTTGCTGATCCTGAAGATGCTTACTGTTAGAAATTATTACAAGTTACGATCCTTATTAATATGTTTGGTCCCTTCTGTGAAGGAGACCTCAAGCCTGAAGAGCCCTGCTTCCTGGAGATTGACAATCTCTAAGTAGTTCAGCTTTTCATTACAGTAGATTGATATGAGCCACGGAGGCAGCTTTAGACTTGCAGGTTGTAATTTCTTTTAACCTGCTCTTGATCTGTGCGTAAGAAACATTCTGAAAGGATATATCGCTGCGTGAGTCGTCTTACTTCGTTGGTTGCGAAGTTCTGGAACGTCACAAGGTTTTCACATTTGCATTGGTCTTTTGAAGTTTTTGCTAGAAAACAGTCAAGCATAGACAAAATGCTGAATAAATCCAGAGGGCTGAGAGGGGGAAAGACAAAAACTTCTGAAAGCAGAGCAAGTTCAGTACAGCTTCCTGTTCTCAATACAAGTCAACATCCACAGGAATGCCACGGGGCAGATTTTGTAAATACTGGAAAATATTACACAGCACTCCTTAAAAGACCAGGCAGAATTACCTAAGCAAAGAACCTAATTACCTGTTGTTCTTGTTGAGTGAGTGCGACTGTCTTCAAAAAGATACTTATGCTGTATTGCAAGACTGGGACAGGCAAGGACATCTGTGATTTCTACTGTGGTTGATTCAGGTCCTGCAGGAAACCCCCCAAAAGTCTAAAAATCATACCCACTTTATGGTACAGTATTTTTGCTACTCACATGCACAGAGTTTTCCCTTATCAGTGAGTAATCTCACTAATTGTAGTGAGAGGATCATTCATGGAGAGGACAGCAATACAAAGATGTGAAGGAACCAAGCTGTTAGGCTGTATTTACTGTGTATGTGATTTAAGCTGTGGGTTGCAGAACTGAAAGGGAGTTGTGAAGGTTCCTGTGAGAAACAAGTGATTAAAAGCTGAACATGCTTCACAGAAATCGAGCACAGTATTGAAATACAAGCTTTCCCTTGAAGTAATTTATTTGGATGGTGTAAAAAGGGAGCATGCAGCTGTGCATTTGTTACAGTGGATCTCAAATTTTCTGTACTAGGAGCAGATCTGAATTGCAGAAAAGAAAATTGCAGAAAAGAAGACTTCAGGGGAGATGGGTAGGGAAAGCAGTTCTCTGAGTGAATTGTTAGGGCTCTGCCGAAGAAGCCATGCTGAGGCAGCTTCGCAGTGATTGGCGCTGACTGGGGACACAGCGGGACACTGAGTTCAAACAGCCAACCTGATGACTGTGGATTAGTCCTATGGAGCCTTCCAGATGACAGATCTTGCCGGTGAGCTGAATTTCTCAAGGCTGGTAGAAAGAAATGGTTATTTAATTAAATGAGATCACAGAAAGGACAATAAAGATGTAATTCCCTAGAAAATCAAATCTTACTTGTCTTTCACCATACATGGAGATGGCCTCATACCTGGCTTCAAGAGGTCCAGTGTTGATGGACAACACATGACGACTCACCTTTCAACTCATCTATTGGAGCTCTCCCAGAACTGAAAGTACTTTACAAGTAGATTAACAGTGTGAAATCACAGCAGCCAATGTTGTGTCCTTCTGGTGAAAATTCTTGCGTGTTGCACTGTTACCCATGAGTTTTTTGAGGGTGAACTGAATAAGAATAAAAACTGCTTACAGAAAGATGAAATATTTTCCCCATTGAAAGGAATTTGGAAGTGCTTGGTGAGAAGGGTGTGGTAGTTTCTTTAATGCACTATAATTACTAGAAAAAGTACAGGTTTCTAGCTCAAGGAAGCATAGACTGAAGTCTAATTTATTTATTAGTGTCTTGACAGAATGGAAATGTCTTTGTCAAGAGTCATTCTGCACACTGCCTGTTTCCTGCCACAAGAGGGTAATGTAGAGGCAGCTTTTGTTTCTTAGGAGTTCTTTTCCAGAAAACAAAACGCTTTACTTTCAGTTAATTTTAGAGCCCTTGGGTGCACAGATGAATTGGAAAGTGCACACTGAACCACTGCACACCTTCATCTACTGTGCCAGGGGAGTGCATGTGAATGTCTGGAACTCCCTTCCTCCTGATTCTGCAATATGTACCCAAATTTCCTTCCATCCTAGAAAGTGGTTACATGAGGAGAAATAGTAAGAGTACAAATGCTGGTGTGCCATCAAGATGCAGCAGGCAGATGGAAGATTCTTCTGGACCTGACCTGTTTGTCACAGCTATTGGGAGCTCTATCTCTATTGGTCCCGTGAGTTTTGACGAATACACAATAACGCACAGATTTATTAAGTTGCACTGGGAAGCAGATGATGAACTTGGGGTGGAAGCTGGAATGGCCAGAATGGACAGAACTAGAGCATTTATATACATTTAAAAAGCAGGACTGGGACCTTGCTTGATGGAACAGTGAGATCTCAGAGAAAACAGTCCAGGATAGAAATATGTGGGATGAGATCATGAAGCAAGGAAGAAACAAACTAGGTGATGAGTTCAGCATAAGGATGAGCGACTAGGAACGAGAATGGTGAAATTCTACATGTAGGAGGGACAAAACAGGTAAGGTGAACCTTGAGTATTTGACCAGGTAATGGATGGGCCTAGAAGCTGCTTAAGGGCAGTAGGCTTATAAGACCGTCTAAAGCAGAGGGACTGACATGGAAAGTCTGAGATTTGGACGCTCAGGAATTGGATGTAAGATGGGGAAAAAACAAGACTGAGATACATTGGCAGAGGTGGGGCAGAATGTTTCTAGTCTGAGATCAGGCATTTCAGAAACTCCTTTTCAGGTTTTAGAAAATAGTTTGGACCTGAAGAATTCTGTTCTCATGCTTCTGGCAAAGCTGTAAACAATCAGACAAGTACAGACAGGTTGCTAGCAGTAATGATGAAGTCAGTGCAGTGAACATACATACTCAGTTTTTTTGGGGGGGCAGAACTCATGCTAAACTGAGGTGCTTGTTTCTAGTGTTCTCTTTTGGAACAAAACTTAAGTAAAGCCCATGAGAAAGTGTTTTCCAAAGCAGTGGCTGACTATTTGCAGCAGTTACAATGGTCTGCAATTTGAAAGAACAAAATGTTTAGCAGCAGGCTGCTGAATGCTGTCATCTGATCAGGGCTGGAGTCTTGTGACGAACATAAATCTAACCATGTAATTAAAGGCTCCCATAACACACGTGCTCTGAACAGGCGTCAAAAGGCAACCATGATGAGTGCCTATTGTATGTGACACTGCTGTAGCTTCGTCAGTGCTTCCAATCATATGAGAATTGAATGTTAAATGAGGCAATGAATAGGAATCTTTCAACTGAACTATCCTTATTAATAATTCCTCTTTGTAATAGAAGAGAAAAACACATTTTCATGACTAGTCATCAAGAATAATAGTAATCAGCAGCTATTCTACAGAGCTGATGTTTTCTTGCAGAGTAAAAGGAGAAAGCCTTACCCCAAAACAGATTTGGAGGGTTTCTGCTTTGCTTAGAAACAGGCAGGGACTGGGGATGAGAGGATTTGTCAGTGGAGTCCATGTCTGGGCTGCAGACAAGTTCAGAGGGCCCTCAAAAGTTCACTGCCCTCATAAGCCTTAGATTAGTTCTTGCAAAGGAGGGAAAAAAATTAGGCCCAGAGGAAAAACTGAAAGGAAAAAATGAACTTCCAGCTTGTGGAACAGGTTTGGAGGCAGAATTTCTGGTGGAGTGAGTAGATGAGCAATATGTAGTTCTAGAGTGTCCAGGAAAATAACCAGCTGGGTAAGTCCAGAGTTATCCACTGGTGTGAGGCATTGCCTAGAGGTGAGCCAGGAGGAGGCAGGCAGAAACTCTGAGGCAGAAGTTCTGCCCTGCTACTACAGGTGCAGTTTAAAAACTGCCACAAAGGGGCAGGATTTACTTATTTTTCATGTTGCAGGTACTGAATTAAAAAAAGTCTAAAAATTACAGCTGCTGAATACTGTTGTGGGTACCTGAAGGATGCATTTCCATCACTGAGCTCTGGGTTTGCTAATGAGTGAGAATTATTTCACCAGTTGCCAGATAATTTTGTCTTTGGCGTCTCCCCAGGCTTTTAAGATGACTTGCTGTCATCAGTAAATTATCTGCTAGTAAGAAAGTTAACGAACAGACTCGGTTTCATGTTATCATAGTACTTTGAATTTCAGAAAGACTGAGCTAGAAGATTCTTATTATTAAGAGAAGCCCAAAGAATATGCAAACTAGGAAATATTCTCACATTCTTTTTTTTTTCTTTTTTTTCAGATTCTTGGTGTCTGAATGAGGAAGAAATGCACTGCTCCTTGCCAGCCAACTGTACACAGTAACACTAAGGAGTAAAGTAAAATATCTTTGCATTAAATTTCAAGAAAAAACGACCAAATAAAAGTAGTGAAAATTAAACCATCCTGTAGTAGTAGTGCTGCTCTCAATATTATTCACTGTGAAGTTACTGTGTTTTGTTTTGAGTACAAATTTGAATGTTCTATTAATATCCAGTGCTGGGAGCATGTGAGTAGAAGAGACACATAGTCCTCTCTGGCTGTACACATTTAATCCCAGCTCACATTCCCTCCTTCCTTTGCAAAACATCAGGTGGGAATGTTTAGAGAGAGGCTGGCTGTGCCCAAATGAGGAAGGGTACTTTCTGCAACAAACCTATATCTGTGGAGCAAAACTTGGAGCTTATGTACAACTGTGATCCATTCTCTGTAGCTGAATATGTATATTCAGTGAACTATTTTAAATGTTTTATAAATATATACTACATATCTTGATAATTTGTTCCATGTTTTGGGGTGGTTTGTTTTGTTTTGCTTTTTGCTATTGAACTTAAGAGCAATTTTTTATTCTCATTAAAACTTTATGAACCCATTATTATTTTCCCACATTCCTAATGAACTAGATCACACTGCTTTGGCAGGGTGGGGTTCAGTGCTCTGCTGACTTGAGCGTAGCAGAAGTGTACATTTTAGACAAGTGTTAAGAAAACAAAGGAAAAGAAATCCCGCACCTTTACCTAGTGATAGATGGTGTGTATATATTCCTTACATATTAAAAGGCAGAAAAATCACCATGAGTGACTGGCACCTTGTAATGTGTCATAGCAATGATCTATGCTATGACAGAGGCCACTGTGAATAAAAGTACCTACTCCTTTAGCCTGCAAAAGAAATCTGTAAGCATGCATTCCTCTTCTATCAATTAAAGCAGAATACTGGTACCTTCACAGATCTGAACTTTCAGCTCTTCGCTTATGTCCTCCATTGCTGTGAAATCCTCAGCATAAAAGAGATGTTTATATGATGGCTCAGAAGCAATTTCCAACAGTTCCTCTTCAATTGCTTTTCCTATTCCAATGGCATAGATAATTATACCTAGAAGAAATTGCATATAATTATTACATCAGCAGTCCTAAACCCTTGATCCTCCATGAAAGGAAAATATGAGTATTAGTCATTTCAGGAAGAGAGCAGGAAAGCATGAAAAATGTACATATGCCATATATCTTCAAAATTGTGTACGAAGAGAGATATTAATGCTTCTGTTATTTAGAAGATGTTTAGAAACTCACTGCTTTACTGTAATTTGACAGATAGTTTTTATGACAGAGAGATGAGAGTTGCTTGGCCACTGCTAGAGTAAATGTACCCAGAAAGAGCACTGCAAAACATCCAAGAAAATCAGCTGCACAAAGTCTAGTGGGAGGTCAGTAACTAGCTGTGTACCCCAGGAGTCAATACTGCAGCATCTTCTAAAGTCTGGCTGTACTCTCTATGTTGCAGGCCATCAGCCTTTGTTCTTAATGCAATTTTTCAGAACACAGAAAATGCTTTGCTTTGCAGAGAAAAAAGGGATCCTTCATTTTCTTGAAAAGCTTTGAAAATTTTCAGTAATCTCTGCTGAATAGCTGTAAAGCTTTTGATTTGTGGTGCAGGTGTCCTACATGACAGCCTTCTGTCCCAGACATATTTTGTCTTAAAAGCCAGCACCTTTGAGTTACTTTATGGCACGATCTGTCATGCTGGAAGACAGCACTGAAGCTGTATGCATACGAAAGGAGAGCCCTTCTTCCTTCCAGCACAGCATCAGCGCTTAGACTTAGTTAAAAATACATAATATAAATAAATAAAGATATAACGTAATGAATTATTAAATTATTAAACAACGTAAACTTCCCAGTAGATTTCTGTATTTTGAAGAGACAGGGTTGTGTTTTTTTTTTTTTAATTAGCGTCTTCTTACTGTTAGAATTTTTGATGAATTTTCCAGTATCAAGTACCTACCCTCAGGGAAATGCATGGCATGCCATGTGAGTCAACGCACTACCTGTGGATGGCACAGAACCCCAGTAGTGAGGCACTCAGCCATTAGTCCCACAGAAGGAATGACAGAACTCAGCAGCAATGGCTCTGTGAAACCAAAGATCTGGAGTTCTGCTGCAACGGTCACTCAACTAGCCAGACTGCTGTGGCAAACTGTCTTGATTAGCAGGTACTGTAACACATCCACACAATTACCACATCTTATTTAGCACCATGTTTACCTTTCTGAAAGAATGAAAGACATCGCCACTCACCACTTCTCTTTGCTCTAGCAGCCCAGTCAGAGACTTCATCTTGGGCTCGTCCGTCTGTAAACACAATGGAGATTCGAGGGATGTTTGCTGACAGTGGTCTGGCTCCTTCTGTTTCTGTGAAGCTTCTCTCAAACATTTGCTTCAGAGCCAGTCCTGTCATGGAGCCTCGCCCCATATATTTCATTTGTGATACAGCTTTCTTCATGTCTTTGGCTGTGCTAAACTGTCTTAATGTAAACTCTGTGCGGACTTCAGAGGAATACTGAAGCAAACCAACTCGAGCAGCTTTGGGTGAAATCTCAAGTGTATCTAATATTCCTGAGACGAATTGTTTTACAATTTCAAAATTATCCTCTCCGAGACTTTTTGATCCATCAATCACAAACACCAGATCAACTGGGCCTTCAGTGCATCCTGTGAAATAAGCAGAAGTGTTCAGATAATGAAAAAACTGCACAAAGCTGTAAAAAGGACTGCGTGAACACAGAGATAACCTTGGTACATTGCTCCTGGCTCAGCCAACCTTGCAGTGTGTCTAGAACTGTTTGTGAACAGTCTTTATCAAAAGCTAAGAGTGTGCCAAAAGCTTTTAACAATAATCTAATCACAGTGTCTATCTATCAATACGTGTCACTTTGTAGAATAATACAACTCCAAAAAATGCTGCTCTTTTTTTGTGAGTTTGCAGTAAATCAGATTTTTAAGAAAACCTTAACAATGACTGTTAAGTGGAGAAAACTGCGTAACTGAAGATCTTTAGGATGTAGAAACAAAGTTTCCATCATTTTCTTCCAGGGATAGGATGCTAACATGCATAGGACAGTAAGTTAATTTTACCTGAAAATGCAGATGACCTGAAATAACGAGAATTGCTGAAGCTGTGTTTGTACTGCAGAAGTAGCAAAAATGTAAAGATGATACAAGAAAAAAAAAAAAAAAATGAAAGAGTTGCTGAAGCCACACATACATAAAAGGAGAAAATCTAGAAGTCATGTTTAGAGCTGCAGGAAAGAATGAGACAGGAGCCAAAGAGCTCAGGGAAGGCTGAGAGAGAAGGGTTACACAGAATGCCCTACAGTTCAGGAGTAGGTTCATGCCTGGAGACAGAGTATGGACAACACTCATGTTTTTATAGCACAAGCTTAAATCTCTAGTGGCAGAAAAACAACTGAAAAATTAAAAGTGAGGCAGTAAACGCTAGAAGGATTTCTAGCTGCTAATGTTGGATAAAAATGGTTTATATACCTTGCTTGTAACTCACTGCTGAAACTAATCTTTTCTGTTTCACCCACTGAAGCTGGGAGACAATCTAGGAGAGCCTGACAACTTTGCAGTCTCATACTTGGTTAAGTGCAAATGCAAAATTCAAAGCGGTTTGTAAGCATTCTGATTTGACTGCAGAACATACTGAAGACATCTATTATTGAGTCAGTGTAGGAATAAGGAATTTTCACTAATGTTTGGACTTTTCTTCTTAGACAACAGCCTTTTTAGAACTACTGTCCAAGAATTCCTTGCTGCTGAAGAAACAATGCATCATGTACTAAAGTAATGGTAATACAATGACTATCAGAACCACTTCAGTATCACTCCATATGTCAGGATGAAGCAACAGCTCAAGGTGAGCTGGGTTAATTACAGTTGAATTCAGTCACAAACATGTTTTAGTAATAATAATGTGCTCCCCAAGAAAGGCATACATTTTTGCAGAATATACGCTTTTACTGAGCTCCAGCAGAAGAGTTTCTCCTCCAGGAACTAAAAGGGTGATGCAATAAATGCATATAATGCTCTAAGCATGTCATATTGAAAGCTAAGAATAAAGCACACATTTCCTTGATAATAATATTTCTTTTTTTTTTTTTCTTGACATTTGGGAAAGATTATTATTGTACTTGATGCTATATGAAAACAACTGTTCCAAATTCTTAGTTTTTTGCTTACAAGAGCCTGAAGATAAATTGCTCAGTACATTTTCTATGACATTCATATATGCTTCGGGCTCAGTTATCAGTTATATCAGTTATATAAGTTTTGAACTGAGGCTTTTGAAGTGAGGTCAACTAACTTAAACGCTCATAGAAACAATTTATATCCAAATATAATGTACTTACTTCTGCAGGTTTTCTGATCCTCTTTTAGTACATACCCCTCCTGACATTTGCAGACGTATGAATCATCATTATTAACACAAATATGGTCACAACCATGGGCAACTGATTTACAGACATCTTTGCCTATGAAACATTTTAAATATTTATAAATTTAGAGATTCCAAACACAACGTTTAAATAACACATGTCAAAATAGAACATTTTATCTTTTTTTTTTCCCATAGCAATGCTGAAGAATGGCAGACAGACAAATTGTTACTTACTTCGACATGTTTTTCCATCTTGTCGCAGGACAAATCCCTCATGGCACTGACAGCTGTATGAATTGTTATTATTAATGCACACATGTTCACAGCCATGGTCAATGGACTTACACAGGTCTTTATCTGAGAATCAGTAAGAGAATTTCCTTATTAGATCTATTCTTAAATGCAAAGCTGGCATGAGCCAGTTTTGAGAAAAATTAAGTCTGTAATCATTTTTATGACTGAAAGGACATATTCCCCATGAAAGTTTTAGGTACTCACTCCTGCATGTTTTCCTGTCTCTCCTCAGTATAAATCCCTTGTGGCACTGACAAGTGTATGAATCACCAGCTGGAACACAGACGTGTTCACAACCATGGTTGACTGTTTTGCAGATATTTTTACCTTGGAGTAATGAAAATTATATTTAGCACAGTTAGCTACATAAATAACTTTCACAAAATATAAAAAAGCACAACGATAATCTTCCATGAAGGAGCTCATTTCCAAGAAACTGACTTCATTTTATTCTGTGAAGCTGATTATTAAAAACACAAAGAGCACACCATATAAATAATAAGTTTCATGAATAGATCAGAAACTACATAATGAAGACTAAGCAACTTACTTCTACAAGTTTTCCCATCTTCCCTCAGTATGAAGTCATCATGACACTTGCAAATATAGGAATCGTCAGTGTTAACACAAATATGCTCACAGCCATGGTTAACTGACTTGCAAACATCTTTATCTGAGGAGAGTGGACAGTTTGCTAGGTGAGGTTCTTTAGGGAGAGATAATATCTTTTATTTACCAGATTGTGTAGTTATGAATCACAGATAAACATATTCATGCACAAACTCTCACCGCCACAACACTTAGAAGACATAACACTTAAACATTCTTATTGCTCAGGCTACTCACATTTACATGTCTTTCCATCTTCCTTCAGTATGAAATTTTCATGACACTTGCACATGTAGGATTCTTCTGAATTCACACAAACTTGTTCACAGCCATGGTTGACTGAACTGCAAATATCCTTGTCTGCCATCAAAAGAGTTGGTAGTTAACATATATCAGCAGAGGCCTGGATTATATTGTTATGTGTCGTTCATCAAATTAAGTTCTCATGCTACATACTTTTGCAGGTTTTCCCATCTTCTCTCAGTAGAAATCCATCATGGCATTTGCAAATATACGAATCATCAGTATTAACACAAACATGTTCACAGCCGTGGTTGACTGACCTGCAAAGATCTTTATCTGAGAACAGATGACAGCTCTTGCTAGTTAATACATTTCTACACGACCTTGAATTGCAGATAAAAAGCATGCTGATAAATATCAGACTACTTACTTCTGCATGTTTTTCCATCTTCTCTTAGCAGGAATCCCTCCCGACACTTACAAACAAATTCATCACCAGCATTAACACAGGCATGTTCACAGCCATGGTTGACTGATTTGCAAATATCCTTGCCTGGAAATAGATAAAATTTAATGTGATTTGCTAGTTAAAATTTTTTCAGATTTTTCATAAAGACTGCAGGGGTAATCCCATCAGCAAAGAAATATGGAAGCATGCACACTGAAAGCTAGTTAAAGGATTGACAGCTTACCTCACATGAGGCATGAGTTCTTTACTGTCTAAGCAGAAAGAACTACGTGGTTTGGATGGTCTCCCAGTGATGCTGAATCATTTTAGGACCAATCTGACTAGATTAAGAAGGAGGACCTTACATGGGCAGCAGGAAGAGTAAAAGAAGGAATATTTAGTATAGTTATTTAGCAAAAATTCATGCTAGTGAAAACAAAACTGAACAAAAAACCACAGCACATGAAGCAAAGCGCTCCTTTAGGATTCTTACATCAATGCTAAGAACCTGCACAAGCAAAACTCAGGAGTGTAGGAACTACTGATTTAAGGGCATGAAGAAAATCAGCAGTATTGGGAAAAACTGATGAGGGGATTTCTATGAGTGCAATGTTAAAGCCAACTGGCCATAACCTCTTCAAGAACAGAGAAAGAAAAAGTAGAAAAGGAAGTCATCCCATCTATCAGCATTCCCTGTTCCTTTCTCACTGCAACAAAAAAAAGAAAATATTCTCAGTTGTTAATGCAACCTTTACACAGCGAACTACAACACTGGATGCCACTAACAGCAGTGCTCAGATCTGTTAGAATTACAGAATTGTATCCCAAGTTGGAAAAGACCCGCAAGAGTCATCAAGCCCAGCTCCACACAGGACACCCCAAATCCAAACCCCGTGTCTGAGCGCTGCCCAAACGCTCCCTGAACTCCGGCATGGGGCCGTGCCCACTGCCCCGTGCAGCCCGTTCCGTGCCCGCCGCCCTCCGCTGCAGCCCCTGTCCCTGACCGCCACCCGCCCCTCCCCTGACGCAGCTCCATGCCGTTCCCTCGGGCCCTGGCGCTGTCACACGGAGCAGAGCTCAGCGCTGCCCCTCTGCTCCCTGCAGCCGCTGTCAGGCCTCCCCTCAGCTCCTCTGCTCTGGGCTGCACAAACACAGGGATGTCATGTGGGACAAGCCCTTCCCTCACCTGCTGGCAGTGCTGGGCCTGCTGCACCCCAGGTACGGTTGCCCTAGTGGCTGCCAGGGCACACTGCTGACTCGTGTTTAACTTGCCATCACCCAGAACCCCCAGATCCATTTCTGGGGCTGCCCTCCTGTTCCCCATTCTGTACATATAAGCAGGGCTGCTCCATCCCTGGTGCAGAATTCAGCACTTTCTCTTGTTAAAGTTAGGGCTGGTAACTGGTTGGTGATTGCCCAGCCTCCTAACTTGTCAACACCTCTCTTCAAGGTCTCTCTGCCCTCAGGGAAGTCAATAGCTCTTCCTAATTTAGTATCATATTTACTCAGTATGCATTCAAGTGCTGCGTTCAGATAATTTTCAGAAACACTGAAAAAAGCTGGCCATAAATTGGAGGTGGAGTGACTGGCCACCAGCCTGATGTAACTCCATTTATTATAACCTTTTGAGCCTAACCTGTCTGTCAAATGTTCACCATCTGCATTATGTTTTTGTTTAGCCAGACATTTTGTCCAAAAGGATAACGTGAGAAAGCTTAATGAAAGCCTTGCTGAAATCCAGAAATATCAGATCAGCTGGATTCTCCTGATTCTTAGCAATTAGCAGAATAACCAATTAGGCTTAATGTGTAGGAAAAAAAATATTTTTTCACAAGAACTTCAGCCTAAGGTACATTACTTGAACAGTTCAGGCTGCCAATACAAAGAACTGCAAAAAATGCTAGAGTGGACAATCTTCTAACTCAACAAGCATTACATTCAAGGCATAACAATCTCAACTAGATCCCATTCCAGCAGGTAAAGACGAAATGATTATGGAGGTAAAAATTAGCAATAGTTAGCATCAGCTTATGCACAGCTGCATGCAACATTCACTATTTTCAAATGGAATGAAATATAAATGAGCAACAAAGTTCTACTTAAAAAGAATAGATTTTATATAGCTGAAAGCAATTGTGAGCCAAAGTACTTTGTGACCAGAGGTGAAATAATTTAAACAAAAGTGAATGGTGACTGTAGTATTAAATCTTGCTTTACTGGATTCCCCCAGAAAAAAACCCTACAGACATCATCTAAAAAGAACACCAGAATAGTTAAAAAAGGAAGAGAAACTAAAATAGAATACAGCTGTAAGATTTGAATAATGATTGAAAGGAAAATTCACATTATTTACTGAAATTGAAAATAAGTGGAATTTGAAACACTGAAATGAAAAGACACAGGCTAAGTTGCAATGCCAATAAAATAAAGGACAGCATATGTTATTTAAGGGGTGTTTGGAACAAAAAACTATTCTAACAATATATTGTTAATTAGTAGGTAGAAATACTAGAATTTCCATCTTTATGCATAAAAGTAAAAATATTAAAAATACTCAGATCTGAATTTTTCAAAATATAGGCTACAGATGATACTGTTAGAACAAAGAGTTTCATCAGTTGAGAAGCAGGTCACACAGTATCTACTGAAGAAACAGCAGTAACTCCAGATCAGTTGCAGCCAAGAGCTGTAAAAAGATCTGGCTGAATAACACTTTGGATGCTTAATATCATTTTTTGTTACCTCCTGGAACTCCATGGAAGTCCCAAAACACTAAAGTTTTCATCCCCAGAGCCTACACACACAGTGTTTGAAAAGTATAATGAGTTCACTGCAAGCCTGTCAGCTTGACGTTAATCTGCATTCAAACAACCAAGTAGATAAATGTGGACTTTGATTTAGGAAAAATGAAAGAAAGAAAAATATTCAAGTTTATATTATGAAAAAATAGGTCCCAGATAAGTAAATAAGAATCTTTTTAATTGATTATGAAGCTGGTTCATAACGCTCAGGGAATTCAGTAGGGCATCAGTCTGGATATTCAATGAACCTAAATGGATTAACATTGGCTAGAGAGGTCTTCAGGATAAACTGTAAATGGGGAATCACCAAGTGGCTTTCTTTCTAAGAATGTGCCCTGCTCTCTACTGCTTAAAATTTTAATGAACAATATTAAAAATATATATAAAATAATCACTAATGAAGTTTACAGGTTACTTTATTGTTGAGAGAATGATAAATAAAAATACAGCTCTGCTGATGTAAGGAAACACAAACCTTTTTGCAAGCTGAGTAAAAACAAACTGTAAGTATTTTAAAATAGCCAGAAGTAAACTTACATAATTTAGAAACAAAGAATGAAGGCTGTACTCATAAGATGTGGGACATTTATATGACTGAGAGTTTTAAAAGGCTTACGTTCATGGTATATAACTAGCTGAACATGAGCCTTAGGAGAATCTCATGGACCAACACTGTCTTTGGTCATAAAAGAAGGGAAGAATAAGAATTAGGTGGGTAGCAGTTCCTGTATGCTGGACCCTGCTGTATGCTGTATTAGAGGACTCTGTACTATGTTATGCTGTGGCATCACCGCAACAATACTGATAAATAGAAGCTTCAGGAGAGTAAGAAGAGATTTATGAGAAGAGTGGAAATGATATAGAGAGCCTGAAGGAATTTCACCTGCTTACTGTTTACTAAAACCATGTTAAGAGGCTAAGCTGATCAGTTAAATTATGGTCTACGTGAGTATACACAGAACTCCAACTCCTCACAGTCAAATGAGGCAAAATCCTATGCTCAAGATTAAATCGTGACAGTCTAAAAATGAAGTTCACATTTAAAAATGCACATTCTGACCTTAAAATTGATTGATTTTCTGAAATACATTTTAAATTCAAACAATAACTTATAGAAATCTTGTGACCTACAGAGGACAATATTCCATTCTGACCACCACGAATCTGAATAATTTCGTAATAGAAGGGAAATTATATTTCCTCTTTTATTGACAAGCAACTTACTTCGGCATGTTTTCCCATCTTGCCTCAGTACAAATCCGTCATGGCATTGGCAAGTATATGAGTCATCAGTATTAACACAAAGATGTTCACAGCCATGATTGACTGATTTGCAGATATCCTTACCTAGGAATAATTTAGATTTCATTTACTACAGTTTAATAATTGAGAACATTTCAAAAAATGTAGAGACTAAAAGTATTGTGTTCCTAGTAAAATAAAGAATCTATCCTCCTTTTTATCGCATAAAATCACAAATCAGAAGACCTGTTTCTAACACAACATGCTTCCTCAGTGACTCCAGAGTGAGAAAATTACACTAACATCAATAATTTACTTACTTTTACATGTTTTCTCATCTTCCCTCAATACAAAACCCTCATAACACTGGCAAATGTATGAATTATCAGTGTTCACACAAACATGCTCACAGCCGTGGTCAACAGAATTGCAAACGTCTTTATCTGGAAAAACATAAGAGTGCCAGTATTTAAACCATGTCTGCAAATGCCCAGATTATAAAAGGAATCTTCTGTTAAAGGTAAGTACACTTACTTCTACATGTTTTTCCATCTTGTCTTAATGCAAATCCCTCGTAGCACTGGCAGACATACGACTCATCAGCATTAACACAAACATGTTCACAGCCATGGTCAACTGAACTGCAAATGTCTTTATCTGAGAACAGTTGATGGTTTTTGGTTAAAGCACATCTTCAATGTATATATTATGGAAGGAGAAGTGGTAGTTTTTATTAGGTTCACTGACATCATTCAAAGAAATGGACAAAAATTTAGGCAGAAAACACTTCTAGTTCTTGGTACTTGAAGAATTGTAGGCGTCGTTTTTTGTTTGTCTTCAGTCATAGCAGTTTGGCTACTAAAGTATACTATTACTGTTCACCGAGTCTCTTACAAGTTTCTAGCAGGTATAACAATATTAATTCCACATTATGAGTAAGTTATGGAAGTGTTATTAGTTAAAATAATTCCACAAATCTACATACTATAGATAAAAGTCTACCAGAATACTTACTTCTGCATGTTTTCCCATCTTCTCTCAATAGGAAACCTTCATGACACTCACAAGCATAAGAGTCATCTTTGTTAACACAAATATGCTCACAGCCATGGCTGATTGATTTGCAGATGTCCTGTCCTGGGAATTAGTTAGATATAGATACAGTTTGGAATGATAACGTGTTCAAAAGGATCAAAAGGATGTTTTCTAGTGAGAAGTGAAGAAGTGATAAATACCTTTCTTTCCTTTCCTAATACACATGCAAAAATGTTCTAAATATATATGGGTTACTCACTTCTGCATGTTTTCCCATCATCTCTCAATATGAATCCTTCACGGCACTTGCAGATGTAAGAATTGTCAGTACTAACACAAACATGCTCACAGCCATGGCTGACTGATTTGCAGACATTTTTACCTGAGAATAAATTAACAGATAAAGAACTGTGCTAGTTAAAGGCAAGATGTTTTGTCTTACAGCTTCCAGGTACTGAATACTCTTGTTCTTGCTGGTATTCTGGACTCAATTCAGCAAATCATTTACAGCACTTACTGTAAGTTTTTATTGTAACAAAGAGCCAAATCTTTGTTCTACAATTTTTACAACCTTATTATTAAGGAAAAGTGCACTGCTTTGGTTCCAGAGTTTGTATAACTTAATGTGTCCCCATCATGCAGGTTAATGTCCTGCAGAGATTTCCAAAAGCATTTAAACTCCACATCCACATTTCAAGTAAACTTGCTGGTGAAAAACCAGGATCTTTCCATCACCGTAATTTTATCTCCAGCAATAAACTTGTGCCCAAACCTGAAATAGTTAAGCTTTCTTTCCTTGGAGTTCAGATGGTATTTGTCATTTTTCTGTACACAAAAATTACAAGAGCTCAGTGTACATTGTGCTTAAATGTACAAATTGAACAACAAATTGTATGATCCTGCTGTAGACTTTTAGAAAATTGTCAGCTGTAACTGGTTGAGCAAATGTTTCGTGAACTTTTCTGACATGTGATTTAGTTACAAATTATATTTCAAAATAAAATAAAATTACATCTACTTATTAATATTGGATAAACTAAACTTTCACTTTCTTCCCCATATCCTTTGTTTTCACATAAGGGCTGCTGCATAGACACAAAATTTCACTTGCTTTTGCAATATCAAACTGTAACTTCTTTTTGAGATAAGCAAAACTTATCTCTGTTCACACGGACTTACAAAGTAGGGTGTTGATGTGATATATGTAATACAAAGCTGATAAATGCAATACAAAACTGATAATACAGAACTTTTCTTTGTCATGTCAGTGTCTGGATTACTTGATTTTTTTTTTATTCTTTTAAATGTTATTTAACAGAAGATGCTGATGGAAATCTTGGATATGATTGGCATTATAGAATACTTTATGCCTGTGTTTTCCAAAGACTTGTCCACAGTTCTTCTCTGATAACTTAGCATGCACTCCAATACCAGGGAAATTTTTTTATACTTCTGTTATTCATCATAACTACATAATGTAGCCAAATGTATAATACAATTACGATATCTATTTTGCAATCAACCTTATCTCACACTGGGCAAAGGAATGAATATTCCATTAGTACTCCTATTCCCATTCCATTAGGCTCCTTTTTGCTATGTAAGTCTTTTGAAATGTTACATATTTTTGTCTTGATTTGAGAAGAAAACTATAGTTGTCTGATATAAGAATGTAAGTTGGAATCCAATGATTTTGGATCCACACCAGACACAGTTAATTTTATACATTCCAGACATTTAGGGTGTGACTCAGGTGCCTGGAAGTTTGCCCTCAGTGCCACTTCAGATGCCTGCAAGCATCGAAGACCTGAACATAATGCTGGCAAACGTGACACCAAAGGGAAAATTGTGAGCTTCTGGAATCCTAGAGCATGTAAAATGTCACTGGAAAGCAACATTTAAGCAATCAAATCCTTCTTACAGTCTTATTTTCTTTATATGTAATAAAAATCTAACATTGACTTGCTGAATAACTTACGTTTACATGTTTTCCCATCATTCCGAAGCCTGTATCCTTCGAAACACTGACAAGTGTAAGATTTGTCACCGTTTATACACAAATGTTCACAGCCGTGATCACTCAGAGCACAATAGTCAACTCCTGCAGGAGCAATTTAAGTTATTGAAATAATTAACAATTAAACCATCATTTCCAGTATTTGCAAGGCATATAAGCACCAATTCTGTCCTTTATCTGATAATATGCACATATATACCTTCAGTTAAATTTAAGAGGGCCCTGTGGTATACTTTGCATTAATTACTGTAAGTGGAGTTGAGAATGCGTAGCACAACTCAACAGAATCTGGGTCTCAGCGCTCTCAGAGTGAATTACAAAAACCTGACACTTGAACAATGTTTTTATAAAAGACAGTGGCAATGACAGAGTAGGTGAACCTTCTTCAAAGATGGCCTCTAAATGATCTGATGTAAACACGGCAGGCAGAAAATCCCTGTGGGACCTCAGAGATGTTTGGCTTAGGCTAATCGAGCTTTTGCAAAGAATTGCAAACAAGACTTATGGAATATGGTCCATTTTTTCTTCTCAAATTTCCTAAGGGTTTCTTATTTGAAGTACCAAGACATAATATTCCCACTCTGCAGGCAGACTGACTACTTTTTATAGGCTACAGACACAGTATCACACTTTTCTTCTTTTACTGTCAGAGTAGAAATCTGTTTACCACTCAGGTGTTCTCCCAGCTGTCTTAAGATACCTGTGCAACTGTGTATGACACCAGTGTTGTGATTCCCAGATGTTTTCCTTTTAGGAGTGGTAAATGCTAAATGCCAATCCCTTCCACTCAGCTGCTCATTCAGGGTATCACAAAGTGCCAAAAAAACCTTTCATGATAGTCTAAAAAAAAAAGGTTTCAGCAACTCATCTGGAGCTCAGCAGTAAGACATCCTATATCTAAATAAATACAAGGAGAGGGATGCATGGGCAAGAATCATTCAAAAGGTCTCCAGTGTATTGCATGGAGGGATTCTAGAAGCCACAGCATGGTTTTAATGCTGTTGATGGGTCTCCAATTACAGTCTGGAAAAAAATGACTGAATGGAAAAAAAAAAAAAAATCCCACAAAAAAAAACAACCCACATCTATTTTTACTACAAAGGAAAAACAGATTTCCCATTCACAAGTTCTTAAAAATACAGTTTGTCTATTTCTGATTTTTCAGCATTTCTTTCAGATAGCATTTGAATTATTTCTAGTAGATCCTGTCCCGATGCAGGATCAGGACCTTGCACTTGACCTCACTGAACTTCAGAAGGTTTGTGCAAGCCCACCTCTGAAGCCTGTCCATGTCCCTCTGGATGGCATCTCTTCCCTCACCCTGCAGGTGTGTCCTCTTTGTGAGAACAGAAACCTTTCCCATGTGGGCTGAGATCTAACATGTTTTCAGATGACTTACGTGTGCAGGTTCGTAGGTCCTCATTGATGACAAATCCTTCAGAGCACTGACAGACATAGGAGTCATCCGTATTTAGGCACAGTTGCTCACAACCGTGATTGCTTTCTGCACAGTGGTCCACTCCTATTATTTGTATATAATAATTGAAGAAAGCACATTTTTTTTTAAGATACATACATCACAAAACTGTAGCTCATGCACAATGCTCTTACAGAGCAAGGGAAAAAGATCAGTATATATTTTTTTATTTATGCAGTATCCCCATCTATGTTAGTAAACCGAATTAATCAACACCTAAGTGAAATGAATACAGCAACTCCACAAAGCAAACAACAAACTTGATAAAGCACAGATTTCCCTTCCCAAACTAACACAAAGTAGAGTCTCAAGGCTCTGCCTGGTATTACCCACAGGATCACACTTTCTTTCTTTAAAAGGCAAGACTCTCTTTTGTTCACCATAAAATTGTCTCTGAGAGAAAGGGAGTGTGTTAACATCTACCATTTATTTGTTTTTCCTATTTTTACTCCGATTCTAACTAAGATAAAATAAATTATTTTTTGAATCTTATATGAAACACACAGCACAAGGTGTAGGCTGAGATACGTGCACTTGCAAATGTACCATGTAATCTGCTGACTCTGTAAGTAGAGCAAAAGCACATTTGAGGAAAAAAAAACCTTATAGCGAACTTTCTCATAACATTTTATTCCTGACTTCTTAATGACTATTTTTAGTTGTATAGGCTCAAACCACGTTAGCTTAACTTGATCAAATGTAGCAGAGTTCCTTCAGGCATGTACAGTCTCACATGTTTCTATTTGCAAATCATTCACAGATGTGACCAGACACGTCTGTAGCTGTCTACATAAAAAACAACAACAAAAAAGCAACAAACCTACACTTAATGTCAATTAACTTCATTTTAAATATTGACATCTATTTGTTTATTTAGCTAGGCAATGATGTTGCAGGACTGCAATGAGTCAGTCCAGATTTCCCATTATACATAAATAGAGATACACTGGCTTAAACAAGTAAAGCTGAGGTGAAAGTTTTTACTAGTTTAAGCAAGTTCCAGCTGGAACATTCTCCTTATTCCAAGGACTTACATCATCATGAAGAGGCTTGTGTAACTTCTTGGATCACATTAAAAATGTCCAAAAAAAAAGAGCTGTTTGGCGCCATCTTTTACAATACAAACACCTACACTAATGTGAATTTTAACATTTAAATGCTTTGGTTTCTTATGCAGAATCTTTTAACACATGCTTTCAAGACAGCTGCCTATTTGCAGGTTTTAGAAAATAGTATAAATGCACATTTCTTCACCATGTATGTTGCATTACATTTTATTTCTTTTTTCAACAATTCTAAGAAGGATGATAAGGGGAAAGGAGAGGGGAAAGATCTATATGACTAAAAAAAAAAGACAACCAGTGTCTTATGATACATTTATTTTTAGATATTCAACTTGTGATCACCTAAAAACATGATTCTTAAAATGTTTTCAGCTCTTGCAACACATCCAAGTTTCCTTAAATACAGCCTTATCACAAATAGTTTATTTAAAAATAATACTCTCTGGCCTATAAACTATTTTTAACTTAATTGACAGCATTCCTTTGGCAATATATGTCAATAGTACATAAGACAAAAATGCTACCCATATTTTAGCTGATATGCAAAATAGTTCTCTGAAAAAAAAAAGTATTTTCTGAAAAGCAGGTGACAGCAAGTGGGCAGTGGTGTTGGTGTTCTCTGGTGCAGCGCTGGTCCTTCAGTGACATTCTTATTAATAGAGGACATTTTATCAAACAGATTGATGAAAGTGTAAAGATATGTAAGAAAGAAGTTTCTGTGCATCTCTATTCTATCTCTATTCTATGCATCTCTCTAACATATGTTAGTTTTGCGTGTGCTGCAGTTTAAACAGCATGGCTGAACAACTTTTCCCATTTATTAGGACTGGAGAAGATGATGCTTTAGTTCCGTGTTAAATCTGGGATCTTACTACAGCATTACTAGAGCTCGCTTGTGGCTGACTTTACAGAAACACAGGTTTGCATAACTCAGAAAGATCTCAGAAAGCACTCAGGGGCATTTTCTCATTCTATTCACACCTCACCCCACTGCAGTAACAGCTGCTGCAGTTCACGAGATGCTCACTTCTACGTGTATTGTGATCACGTCGCAGGACATATCCAAGATGACATTTGCACATAAATGACTCTCCTGAATTAACACATTCATGTTCACAGTCATGCTGACCTAACTCACAGATATTTACATACAGAGAGAGAAAAACGGTGAAGAATTCAAACCAGCCAGGAAGGTTTCTTAAGTACAACAGCTTGGAAAGACTCACTTTCCTTAAATGGTACCAGATTCTATGATCTGCACAACTTTTAAAGCTGTGTACATCTGATAGTGACTTGAGGATCTAAGAGCTGTCTCTGAATACTTGGCTAGGCAAGACTGAGCTTAGACTTAACGCTCTTGCTCCAGCAGTCATTAGAATCTATGCCCTCTGGTGGAGGAGGAATGTCTGGTTATACATAATGGGTTTTTTTTTTCCTGATGTTATGAAGAGGGCAAAAGATTTACAGCCAAATTCAAAAAAACCCTAAAGTTAAGGAAAAGTACCCCAGTTTGTCCTTGATTCTCAATTAAATCCTAGGCAATAAGAATTTGAGACAATACAGTCCTTTTGCTCCTATGCTCACCAAGACACATCCATTCTATAAAAATCTGGATGTATTGAAACACCATATAAATACTAAAAGTGAGAATAGCATGGATTGCTGTACAAACAGCACTGTATTGACAATCATAGAATCACAGAGTGTCCTGGGTTGAAAACATCCTGCGGTTTAAAACCTACTGCTTAAAATCTGCTGTGTGCAGGGTTACCAACCACCAGACCAGGCTGCCCAGAGCCACATCCAGGCTGGCCTTGAATGACTCCAGGGATAGGCATCCTTGGGCAACCTGTTCCAGTGTGTCACCACCCTCTGTGTGAAAATGCTTCTTAGAGATGCATCTTAGAAAGCATCTCTAAGACTGAAAGAAAACAGTTTCAAAAATACATGCAAGTTATAAGAGTCAAGAGACAATAATTGTATTGCTCTAACCAAGCTTCCTATTCATAGAATATCAGCAGTAAAATCCCTCCCCTTCCCCACTCCCCCCAGGACTGTGTCACCAGATCAAGCTAGTTCTTTTATTGACAGCATTACACTGAAAACCTCTGTGACTGAATCCCTGCTTGGAAAGAGCTGTAACAGAAAAAGTATTTGTGAAGTAAATAATATGTATAATTGGTTTATAATCCCAACATTACTGAGGCTGTTTATACAGTTTGAAGGAAACTGTATGGAGTTTCATGTTTGATTTTAAGTTGCTTTTCATAACTACATTACAATCTATTACTTACTCACAGCTAATGAGGTAAATTTATTCTTGGCTAAAACAAAACTGGAAAGCAAGATGAAATTAAAAATAAAACCAAAAACTAAAGAAGACTGTTTATGTAACTCTAAGACAAAACAACAAAGTTTTAAAAAGAGTAATTAACTTCTTGGTCTTGAGCTGATATTGGTTCCTTTATTACTCCTCAAGTTTTACCCAATCTCTTAAAAAATGTTTAATACACAACCTACTCTACAAAGCAGCAAACTGGGTATCTTTCCGATATGAATGAATGGCTCGGGTAAAATTTGAGTTTATAAAGAAAGATTTGTTTCAAACTTTATTATAGAGAAAACTTGCACCCTTTCAGAAAGGAGAGCATTCACATAAGGTTTAAGAAATGAAAGCAGATGAACTTCACTATGTCCAAAAGATTACTCACTTTTGCATGTTTTCTTATCTGGATTAAGTCTAAACCCTTCTTGGCATCGACAGAAATAGGAATCATCTGTATTAACACATTCCTGTTCACAGCCATGGTCCTGAAGAGCACAGTAGTTTGGTCCTAGGTGGGAAGAACTCAGGTCATTGATAAATATAATTTCCCAGAAGAAGGCTAGGTAAAAACCACTTACCTAATTTTTTTTTCTTTAGGTACTTTTTTTTTTTCCATATGCTCCATTTGTAACTTATTGTAACATATTGTTTCAAATTGTGAAAATAACATGTTCACCATCTAAAATGTCTGCTGAATTTGGGTATGCCAGATATGCATACTTACATGAATTCTTGAAAGACACATGCACTACATGCAGTACAGAAATTAGAAAATCAAATATTTATTAATATTTTGTGGCTCAGTCCTACACACTATCTCATCAGCCTTTTTATTTTACTCAGAGGAAGTTTGATATGATCTGTTACGTACTTGCAAATTATTATTCCCAGAGATAATTAGCTTCCTGGAGAAAGAACTGTTCTTTTCTTGTATGTGTGGTGATCTAACGCAATTGAGCCTTTACACGTGTTGAAAGCATTCACCAATAAACCAAGCAGTAGCAGTGCCAGAAATCCCCTTGTTAATTCAGTAGCTAGGAATTACCTCTGCCTTCCTCACCAACAGTCTGAGTTTACCGCTCTCTTCACACAGAGTAGTCTGCCAGTGTTGGCAGGAGTCCCCTAATGAGCTGTGCTCCTTTTATTTCATTCTGAAAAAACTGGAGTAAACCTCAGAAAAAATCTGTAAGACACGCATGACTGTGTGATAACATTTACGTTTTCAAACCTTTCTTTGAAGCTATGAGCACTGCAGCTTACTTTCAATTTTTGAAAGAAAAAACATGATTCTAAGAAAGTCACAAGCTCTTGGGAGCTGCAGCCATTGGCCCTGGCCTGTTTACTGATACTGTGATCTGGTCTACCAAGGGGGTGGTGGAAAAGACAACTGATCTGATTATCAGGTCAGTGTCTATCACGGATGAAAATTCAGAGACTAAGAGAGATCCCTGATTACAGTTTATCACGCTAGAATAAGACTTTCAAAAAGTTTGAAAAGCTTGGCTCAAAGGACACTGTGATGGATCATTTGTTACATCTTTACTTACTAAAGTTCGTTTGCTGTGGATTTTTTTCCCCCCAAACCAGCTTGTTATTTATTTTCAATGCTTCTAAGAGCTCATCTGCATTTCGCCCAACGCATTTGGAGCCCAAGATAATATTGGAAAGCATTAGGGTCCTTAAAGGAACAGCCTATCACAGAACACCGTGTATCACAGTACACCTACACAGTACACAGTGGCACTGCTGGTGCCACTAGGACTATGACACTAGCTGAGTAGCACCTGTGATGGAAAGTCCCTTGGTATTTATGGTGAATGTGATCTTGAATTCAAGACAACAATGTAAATCACTGCAAATAAAGAAAACTTCACATTGGAACGCACAAGTGAAGCACAGCAAGCAGAAATTACTATCGCTCCTCCTCTCAGCACTGGTGAGGTCGCATTGATGTACATTGCTCTGGAACAGTACTTCCCCACACAGTTAAAGGCAATAAATACAAGAGGGCTCAACAAAAGCCTACTAACGTTGTCCAGGGCATTCTGCACATGACCTGTTCAGAGTACTTCAGGATTCTGATCTTACCTAGCCTGGTGAAGTGGAAGACTATGTCATTACAAAGGTAGTGGATCTAAACCTTTCTTGGTAGCGTCAGATGATAAAACAAGGATCACTGACTTGGGTGATTCAGGTTTGGCATGGGAAAAAGTTCTTCACTGGAAAGACAGACCAGCAGTGAAACTGGCTGCACAGACAGGTTGTGGATTCTCTATTGGAGCTTTCTGAGATTCAATTAGACAAAACTATAGTTGACCTCATCTTGTGGCAGCTCCACTTTAAAGAAAAGGCTGAAATAGATGACTTCCAGAGATTCTGTCCAACCAACATTTGAAAGCTTTAATACTTGTAACACAAAAACAGCAGCACATGATCAGACTGAAGATCTATATAGCCCAATGTCCCATCTCCACCAATAATTAAAGCAGAGGACAGAAATAGGACGAGTGGGAAATACTACTTTCACAGAACATTCTTTCAGCTTCCAGAGTCTACGGCTCATCAAGTTAAATAGGTTAAAACAATTCATAGGATCAGACAATAAGCTACAAACAACTCAAGACATAAAGTATTATGTAAAAGATGCAGTTTGAAAGTCTTTGATTCAAATTGGAAAACACTGATTAAAATTCCTGATCTTAAATTAAAGAAATCTGCAAGAATTTTTGCTTGGGCAGTGGAATGCACTTACACTACACTAAATTTCCAAAACATATGGATATGGAAGTACAAGAGAATTTAGCCAGCTCTTAGCTGACAGATATTTGACAAATGGGCTTCTTCATACAAACTACAAGCAACATGAACTGGTTTCAAGTATAATCTGTCCCTTGGGGATGAAGTAAATTCATCTCTCTGAATTCTCTGATTGTTTATCTAGAAATCAGGTATCTGGTCTGGCAAAACATGTAGCTCCCTATACAGTCAAGGAAAATACAGTAGAGGTATGACACCTTCTGGAAGTATGACTCTTTTTCAGGATCATGAGGTCAGATATACAGTTTGAATTAGACATTTTCTTTCTAAATATTAAGTGAAACAGGTATCAAGCTTAATGCCCAGAGCAATCTTCTCTTAAGATAAAGATGCCCTCGGTAAAAACACAGAAATGCAGTGCTATATTTAGGATTTTTTTTTTTTTATTGAGAAAAAATAGTTCTTCTCATTATTAGATAACAGGCTAAATTTATCACTGGTGTCAGCAATTCCACTCACCTAAAAACTAACGAGGTTTTTCTAGCTACAGATGCAAAGTAAGGTATAGTTACCATGGTCTGTCTTTACAAGAAAAAAAGTCAATTAGGACTGTATATCAAGGCTTTCCCTTCATACTTCCTGAAGTTCATTATTACATTAAACTCTATGGAGAACTAAGGGAAGCCTTGGCAAGAGTATTTTCTGGTCTGTATGTTTGCTTTAACTTTATATCTCTTCCAATAACGGTAACTTTAGAACTTGTTGGTCCAGTGCCAATTAAATTTGAGAAACGAGCAAACCTCTGAAGTTATTATAGCCTGGTAGAAACATGGAAGCTTTGTAGAGGCTGCTCATATTCCCAGAGATACCTCTGGCAAGGTATCAAAGGTATCAAAGAATACCCTATGGAAGAAAATCCATAGGAAAATAGGCTGCAATGTCTCTTCTGATGTGGAACTATTCACTCTGTTTAATTTTAGCAGCCAAGATGATTACAAATCCTCTTGTACAGCCTTATTCACCTAGGTAGGGAGATGATACTCTAAATAAAAAATCTGGATCATCAAAGAGACTATGCAAGACAAGCTCAAACTATTGGAACAGGAGCCTGTTCATAGAAGGGGCCTCTACATCTACATCCTCTCCATAAAAACAAACTAATGCTCAAAACAGCTTTATTAACTTTCATGACATTTGGCTTCAAGGGCACTCTATCATTTTCTATACCCGACATACTATTCAGTGTTCCCAGGAACAATGAGAACTAGAAAGAAGGAGTACATACTGTTCATAATTAAACCTTATAATAACTTACTTCTGCAAGTTCTTTTGTCTGGATTTAAAATGAAGCCTGGGTGGCATCTACAGTAATAAGAGTCCTCCGTGTTAACACATTCATGTTGGCAACCTTGATTATCCACAGCACAGTAGTCTACAACTGAAAAAGAACAAGAGTAACATTTATAGTTAGAAATACAGAATCAGAACTATTATACATACAAATTATATACTAGTTACACACAGTAGCTACAAGAGAAGGAAAAGCTGACATAATTTTTGTCCAAAAGAGCCTTTCTGCAAAAAGCAGCGCACTTCAAATTAGATTTCACGAGTCCCACATTATTTCTCCTACTTTCTGAACATTTATCAACTCTGTCAGGAACTTTCCCACTGTGTTTTCTCAAATCTGGAAACCATGCCTCGCTCATTAGCTCTGTCCAGATCTTCATATTGTAGACCAGGAAGTTGCAGAATTTATTTTATTTAGTTTTGTCTTCTGTATGTCCAGATCCAGCCCTGGTATTGCTCTGGTTTTCTTTAATTCCTTCCTAGCTCTATTAGTTATCAAGACCTGTCCCAACAGCCTGAATACATGAGAGACTGATAGCAATACCTTCTACTTTGCTCCAGAATCATCCTGTAAAATTAGGCACAACTATGAAGCCTGAGAGCTTCAGCTGATTTTCTCTGCTATTTTGCTTATACAATGCCATTTGTGGGAAAGAAATAAAACACTGTTATTCTAGTCACATATTTTTTAAGTCTGGTCATGTATTACACAAATGCGTATTTGCAAGATAGATTGCCAAAAGGGTATTAATGTAATACTTCAGAGTTTACTCAGACACACTCATATGAAAGCACTAAGGAAGTAAAATTAATTGTGTTTAATTTTGTTTTTTGCTTTATTTCTTTACAGGTTAAGCTGTTTCCTTACACTGAAGGCCCTAGAAGAAATCAAAGAGAACTCACAAAGCAGGTGTCCTGCCCCCAAAAGCTGCCAGGCCCACTTCAGGCAAGTTTATTCAACTCTTAATGTATCTAACACAGATGTTTATTGAGACAGTTTCCCCATCTTTGCCAACTGAGTAATATTTTTTATGACTCTATACTCTATGCTGCTGACCCTCCCAAACTACTTCTAAGAGTGAGTAGTTTGTTTTAATTAAATAATTTTTTTCTCTGTAATAGACTTCTCTCTGCAAACAATGCACACTCAGGTATACTAAGATACTGAAGGTCATCTAGTCAGGAAAGTAAATAACCTAGTTAGTTACCTAGAAAGAGCTTCTTTTAAGCCTCTGGAATACTTGAGCTGAATTAAGCCAAATTAGATTACTTACTGGCTACCATGTGAAAACATTTTCCTGGCAAGTAGCTTCCTGTTTCCAGACCAAACAGCATCATATAAAAACATATTTGCTGAGTATCTACTACAAGGATCTAAAGTGTTATATAATTAGTCAGATTTCCTCTTAAATTCTAACCAAATGCACATTTTCAAGTGTTTTAGAAGACACATTAGCAAATAAGTACACAAAAAATACATAATTTTTTTTCTATACATCATCATCCCTAAGAAGCAGTCCATATAAATCACTTCCACTTTGCATTTAAACTTCAGTAAACATGCAGTTCTGCCAAAATACCTGTAACTGCCCAACTAATGATTAGGAAGTTGAGAGACAACTAAATAGGTCAACTAGTCTTAGAATCCTTCATGATCAACACTGTTTTGGAGATGCATATTTATCTTTCCACTCCCTCACTGAGCCCTTATTTCACACAGGCTTGGCCTTCCAGAGTGGCATTATTAATCTGCCTACAATTTAATTTCACTTTCAGCTTCACATTTCATTTTGGTAGCCCTCGCTTAGAAGTGAAACTTGCCAACAGGCTGTCAATCAGCAAGTAAGCTGCCAGTGAACTTACATCTTCCTTAAAAAAATTGGGAAGAATTATAAACGTACATATCATATACTGAAGCACTGTAATCTACTGTAAATATACAAAATCTATAAAAGACCAATGCAGAATGATATTCTCCTCATTTTTGTTAAGTCTTACTATTTTCTCATTTCTGTACTGTCAAGATATTGAAACCAGAATGTTAACACTTGATGTTTACCATGACTACTTCAATATAATCTTTTTCTAAAAGAATGACAGCAGTATTTTGCACAAGCAAGCAATGAATCCAGTTGTCATCTCCCCTGATTTGCTCCACCATGTTTTTCTTGCTTAGAAGTAGTTACCAAGACCGTGAGAGCCGTCTTTCGCTTCCAGTTACCAGTTCTGCACTCTGGCTGCTCATGTTGTCCTCTCCAGTCTGCAGGCAGCACAGATCACCCTTCTCTGCTATTGCTGTATCACTACTAATGTCTACATAGGTTTTTAGTCTTAAGAGAACGAAATATGTTAGGAAAAAGGGTAGAATAAACCCTAGGAAGAAATGGAAACGTTAAGTTAGAAGAATGAAAAATAAAGTGAGGAAGGAGAAAAGGAGACTAATGGAAGACCAGTTAATGCCTAGAAACAAGCCAAAAAATGTGTCAGTGCCAGGACTGCAGACAGGTGCCAGCAGCCAAATCACTGCCAGGTGAAGAGAGCCCGAGCCCAACAGCTGCAGCAGCATTGCAGACAGTCCACTGGTGCCAGGAAAGACAGCAACACCAAGAAGATGGAGAGAGTGGGACTAATACTGAGAAGACTGCCTGCTCAGCAGCATAATGGAGAAAGTAGGGCTCATCTCCACCATACTAGAACTGACAGGATTTTGGTCATATAAAAGACAGCTAACTGAAAAGCTGCTTAAAAAGGCAGACGATGCTGCTCTACTAGCCACAGTTACTGCTGAAAATACTGCTTAATCTACACATTTTTCATAAATTTGCTTGTCCATTCAGTGGCCACTTTAAATGGGTGCACTGTAATCTCCTGTTGTGAGATTTTATTTACTTATTGCCATCCAGGTAAATGTCTGACAGCTTTGTGGATAAAACAATTAACATGGCCTTTGGTCCTTAAATAGAAAAATTAGCCCCTCAGAGAACAGGAAAAGAACAAAATAGTAATAACAGCTCATGGCACTAAGTATGAATATATCAGATGAAAATATATGGTAAAAAGAACCACGGATACAAGAACCTGCCAAGAGAAGTCATGAATTTTCATGTTATCTTTCATGTTATTCTAACTCGAAAAAAAAAAGATATTAAAACCTCCTTTTTGTGTCCCAAGTCAAATGCAAGTGGAATTCTCAATTTCATACATAAATTATATCTATTTTGCACCTCAAAATAGGATTATTCTGCAAGATAATCACTCTATGAAAGTAATAAAAGAGAGACTGTATTACATTAGAGTTCTTAAAAAAGCCAAACAAACAAGAAAGTGTAAATTGTTGGAAGCTGGTTTTCCTGGTAATTTGTGGTGGCCTATGGCAAAACTTGGGGCCAAGCATTCAACTTGGATTTACTTCCATGGAAACTCAGCATGTGCTTGAAATTAAGCACGAATTTAAGTGCTTGCCTGAAGAGAATACCTAACAAATTAAACATTTTTTCTTTAAAGACTCTCTAGGTTATTATGTATGAGTGTGTGCTTGTGTGCATGAGTGTTAGTGCATGCATTTGATTCTAGAAGATAATATTTTCCTGAAATGTGTGGGATGTATGAGAAGGGTGACAGCCTAACATTTGAAAAATATTTACTGTATATTAATGAGGAAGAAGTAAGAAGTGAGATACATGTATGGTAATAATGTTTTCCTTGAAAAATTGTTATATTACATATCACGTCAGTACAATGTTGGTCACCTGCATGGATATACAGTAAAACATCATGTACATAGTTCCAAGTCAATAGTGTTACTTGCTGTGTGAAATTATAGGCAAAAGCTTAAAAACATGCCAACACACATTCTTCTATCTTTATCACTCGTGAGAGAGGAGAGCTTCCCATCATTATCAGGTCATTTTAAACTGGTCATTACTTTACATTCGACCTCTCTTTGGTTTGTTTCAAGAGATAAACACAAATGGCTGAGCTCATACTCACCAACACAATTCTTTCCATCTGCATCAAGCTCATACCCTTCATAACACTGACAGACATAAGACCCAGGCGTGTTCACACAAATCTGCTCACAGTTATGCTTCTCCACAGCACAAAGGTCTTGAGCTACAAGGCAGAATGGCACAAATATGAAGTTCTTCGACCTTCTATATTGCACAGGTTGACTATAGATTGAAAATAAATTTCAGGAAGCTATGAAGACAACAACAAGTCTCATTAGCAAAATTACTACAGCAAACAAGGTCAGTTCAGTTCCTGGTGTAATGAAGCACAATTGTCTGCCTTTAACACAGACCAAAAAGAGTGGCTTTCTGAGAATCCCAAGTTTCCCCAGTGAAATCCCTGGAAGGCAGAGTACTTTGTGTTGCTCAGGATCAGGCCTGGAAACTGCTCAACACATAATTATAATTTACAGCTACAAAAAAAAAAAAACACGTTCTGGAACATGTTTAAGGACATTAGCCAAACAAATACTAATTTTATTTTATAGCTCTCTGCTTCATATCATGTGGCATGATGAACAGCATAAACAGTAATTTAACTCTCTTGTTCCAATATAAACATCCAAAAATAAGTAATTTTTTTCAGTCATATATGCTCTTTTGTACTATTTTGTGTATTAACATAAGATTTGAGTGTAACTACAGAAGAATGAAAGATATGAAACTAAACAAGCAGTGCAATGAGTATAGAACAGCCATTATCTGCCATAGCCACTTTTCTCTAGAAAAGTTAGATCAGATTTGGTGAAAGGAGCAAAAAAGAGGTTTTCATCCTTGCATGAATACAAAACCACCTCAATGATTTCCATCTTTTGCATGGATGCAAAACCATCTAAATAAAAAAAAAACAACATCACAAATGCAAGAACATTTTATGTTGAACAAAGGAACATTTTTTTCTGGATTTTGTTCTGGAAGATAGGTGAGTTGAACTTTTTTTTTTTCCTTTCATGTGTAATGCAACAAATCACAAATACAGCACTTTTTTTTCTTTCATAGAATCATGGAATCACAAGGTTGGGAAGGACCTACGAGACCATCTAGTGCAACTGTTCTCCCACTACCACTGCTACCACAAGCACTAAACCATATCTCATAGCTCCTCATCCAGGTGCCTCTTGAACACTGCCAGGGATGGCGACTCCACCACCTCCCTGGGCAGCCATTCCAGTGCCTGACCACTCTCTGAGAAAAAAAGAGAGAAAACGTTTTTCCTTATGTCTAACCTAAATCTCCTCTGGTACAACTTGTGGCCATTTCCTCGGGTCCTGTTTGTGGCCTAGGAAAAGAGGCCAAACCCCTCCTCATCACAACCTCCCTTCAGGAAGTTGTAGATGAGGTCTCCCCTGAGCCTCCTCTTCTCCAGACTGAACAATCCCAGCTCTCTCAGACACCCCTCGTAAGACTCCAGACCCCTCACCAGTTTCGAAGCACTTCTCTAGACACGTTCCAGGGCATCAATGTCCTTCTTGTAGTGAGGGACCCAAAACTGAACACAATACTCGAGGTGTGGCCTCACTACTGCTGAATACAGGGGGAAGGACTTCCATGCAGAACTGAAATGCATTAAGTAACAAAACTACCATCCACTCAAAAGAGGAATGCCCTTCAGCCTGGAGCAAAGCTGTTAATTCACTGCTGATTTAAGTCATTTGGCTAAGGGCTTGTAAGAACTGAACAGTGACAAGCTGTACTCTCACAACATAAAAAAGAGTTCCAAAAGTTGAAAAGAATATATATTTATGTTCACACAGTTCATTTTTTATTCACTGTTTAATTTAGTAAGTATTAAAATATACATGTGAGGAAACTATTCACGAATGAGCTAAGAAGTACACTCAAAACTTAGATAAATATATCTGTTTTATGTTGATCATGTACTGCACTAAACATCAATATAATGCAGATTTATTTTACTTAGAGGTCAAGTGAAGAACATGTTGTCCCTGTGCACGGGTGAAAAATAACTTCTAAAGTAACATGGTCACAGACTTCGGGTTCTTCTATCACTACTGCTCACCGTCATTCCATAAACAAGCAGCCCAGTTTCTCCAGCTTTGGTCCCCTTTACTCATGAATTCTGTTACTTCTTTGAGCTTTTATACTGTTTTAATTAATATAAACTATTTATATGATTTATAATCTAATCTTAGATTTTGAGTGCAATTGTCAAAACTAGTTTATAGTTTGGTAATGTAGAACAATAGGCTACAAATACATGGAATGACTTGTGTCCCTTTCATATTCAGCAAACTTAGATCCACTACCATCTGGTTGATGATCAAAACAAGTACATAGTCGAGCATATCATGTGTGATAGATAAATAGGGAACACTCTGTCATAACAAAATTTTTTTTTAAATGAATAGTAAAGCAGAGAATTGTAAAAGTTGTATAAAAGCAACACATGCTACCATGCATAGGCCATCAGGAGGAAAACTCCATATCATTCCAAAACTGTCTTAAAAATTAATCTGTAATTCGCAGCAGTGCAGTGACCATAAGCTGAACTACTGGCTAATAAAAACAATGAAAATATAACACAATACAACAGAAGACACAATAAACTATTTTTCATACTCACAATTAAAATTTTCTCTATTTTGTACCCTTAGTTGAACCAAATTTATTTTCCAGTTTTAGCAGTATTATTCTCTGAATTCAATTGTCCAAATTGATGTTAGGGGTGAGGACAGAAAAAAATGTGTAAGAAGAAATTTTAAGAAAGGAGAGATTTTGTATTTTAAGTAAATTCCAGAACAGTGATGAAAGAAATAGATACAAAACTCTTAAATGAGAAGAACTTTAAAAGGGGAAAAATGGGAAGAAGTAGTTAGGGAAGATTACTGAAATATGATTGAAGAGCCTTCATTTGGGATTCCAACCACTCATTTTGGAAGTACAAATACATGGAAGCATAGAGAATAGGCTGTCTAAAAACTGTTCTTGTCACTATTCTTGTTTGCCTCAGCTGCTAAACCAAGCAATAATTAGGAAATATTTCAGATTACATTTAATTTTTTTGCTTCTTCTTAAAGAAACAAAAGCCGGAATAAACAGACAAATAAATGTTGAATAAATTGTGGAAAACACAAAACATAATTCAGACAGCTGTGTATGACATATATCTACATTTTATAAGGGATGCTGGTGAGAAGGGCAAATAAAACAATGATTCCTCAAACTAGCTCATCCCCTGGCTCTACACTATAATAGGTGAACAATTCAAAAGCAATTTCCTCCTACAACCCAAAGAATCTGAACTTGTCTCCATACACCAGCAAAATTCACCATACAATTTCAGCAGTGACATCTTCTGGACCCCATATCTAGTTGCTGAGGCTCTGACTAAAACTGTGTCCCACTGCAGATGTAAAAGTCTAATAGTCAACCTGCGGAGTCCTCTCAGACACTGACATATTCCCATTGTTTCAGTCATCACAAAGGAGACAAAGAACCCCTTAATTCCAAACTACTTGATTAAGATGTTGAGATACAAGGGCAGGATCTGAGCTTGCATCCTTCCTCTCATCTCTAAATCACGTATTGCGAGGGGGACATCCTTTGCCCTCACCATGATGGCTTTCTCATCTCTTTCAAAAGACATTTTTCAAAATAATTCTTGCAACTAAAATCGGTTTGGCAAATTTGCTTTGAATCCATGGAGTTCTGTGGGGTAAGGAACTGCATTTTAACAAGTGTATTTTTCACAAGTGATAAAACTTATTACCTCACAATTAATTCAAAATAATTGTGGATAGAGAAATAAATTTGGCACGTCTTTCTCATGTAATCTGCTGTTAATTATGAGGATGCAAGACAAACTGGACAAAAGAAATACTACTTACAAAGATCACAATTAAACTGAAATATGTTACTATGAATTACACAGTTAAAGCCAATTGCTTAAAAGCAAACAATTTTTTATAGAACAAATGAGAGCACAAGGACTTTTGAAACTCTCTTCTGAAAGATTTTAAGGTTGTATTTCATGCAGAGTTTATAAAGCTTTCCAGAATGGCAAGTTATGTCCCAGTTTGTAGTATGTGGTTTATTGTCCCTTACTGTGCCACTCAGGAAAAGCAACCAGTATCTAGACAGGTTACTAAATTAGTTGTGATCATTTAATACGAGATGATGGAACAGTTCTTTCTTTGATCATTGCTTAATTCTTGAACTTATTACATCAATAAAACTCAAATGCAACTTTATGTAACTACAGTGCACTACTGCTTGATACTTAGCTTGAAGTATTTGACAAAGGTTTGCAAGAACTTCATTAAAAAAAACACACAAAATACAACTTCACCTTTTTAGACTCTTTGTGATTACCATTAATTACACAATGAGTTCAGATCTTCTTTATGAACCCAACTCAAACCACTGACATTAAGTGCTTTTGAGTGGCACAAGAAAGAATAGTTTAGAAAGATAACATACTGCTGCAAGTCTTCTGGTCAGCGTTCAGGATGTAACCTTGTTTACATCTGCATACATAGGAGCCTGGGGTATTTATGCAGAAATGATCACAGCGATGCTCAGCTATACTGCACATATGGGGCACTGAAAGAAAAAAGTAAGAAGTTACTAATGACTGGACTTGTTTATTTGTTGTTACAAATGGTTTAAAATACTTTACTGAAGTCATTTAAAAAAACTGAGTTAAGTTTCAACAGTCAAGACAAAAATGGAAGCTTAAGCCTACAGTTGAGTATAGAAAAAACCCTTACCAAACAGAATTATACTTTTATTTGTAATAAAAATAGGACTTTATATATAATGTCTGGTTGACAACGGTGACATCATTTTGGACATGAAATTACTTACAGAAGAGAGATATAAACAACAAAAAATTACAATAGAGCATCTGGAAACACTAATTACTTATTGGTTCCATGAAAACAATGAAACAGGCACCACATTCAAATTTAGAAATAAGTGTAATTTAATTACAAATTGTTCTAGAGAACATTTAATTTCCTGAATGAAGTACCCACAGCTCAACACTAAGAAAGAATGATTGATTGGAAAAAAAATACCTGATGAAGAATCTTGTTTGCCAGTTTATTAATTTTGAGGAATGTCTGGACAAGATATGACTACAGTGAAGTAAAGCATCTCTGAAACTCAATAAGAGGAAGCTGAGCTGAGCTACACTCTAGAGTATAACTGTTCCTGAGCCTATTTTTTTTGTAATCTGCTCATATTTTATGTCTCTAATAGCAAATAGTAAAATGCAACAGACTGTGACAGGAAGAAAAAAAAAAGCAGGTCTATTCTGCCAAATTCATTACCTAGCTATTATTTTTTCCCGTATCAGATTTTCTGTGGGGAAGTAATGAATCTCATTGACTTTTTTCTTCCACTAGAGCACTGTTGGTATGTCACTCCTATAATATACAGGTGAATTGTTCTCAGAGAATAATGTATGGAAAATAATCTGTTTTTTTCTCAAGGACAATTAGGGACCAATGTGCTCATTATACTGCTAGGCTGGCAAACATCAAAATTTATGGAATAGATATTCAACAGTAATTTTCTAGCAGCCACCATAAAAGCCTAATAAATAACTTCACATGTAATAGGCATGAAACATCTGCGGAAAAAAAAAATAGTGTTTTTACAATACATACTATTTATTGAGTCTTTGGAACAGTTACCAAAGTTATGCATTTATTGCTAATACAGAAACCACAATTCCCAAATCTCTTAAACAGCTTATTTGAACTCATTGTCTGCCATAACAAAACAAGTGATTTTATCTTTGTGAATGCACACCTGCTGGTATTACTGGTCTATTCATTCTTCTGTCTTTCTAAAAGTAAAGTTCATGATCTCTGATACTTTCTAAACATAAGTTTCATGCTGGCTATATTTCACTAGTTTGCAACATCAGGTACAGTTTGTTATGACCAAAGAGGCACTTAAAATATGACAAAAAAAAAAAAATGTCAACAGTTTACATATAAAAAAATCTCACCATATTAATCCATAATATTCCTCCAAGAATAATCCTCCAAAAAACATTCAGACCTCCACTATCAAATCTTATACAGTGGAGGAAAAAAAAAAAAGCACCCTGAGCAACTGAGTTCACTCTGAGAATATATCGTTGCTACTTGTTACCAACTTCACATATCAATTATTTATTTTTTTTCTGTGCTGAAAGAGGCTGTTGTATGCTCAACTTCTGCCTGACTTCTTGTAGGAACTTGTTGTTTGTCTGGTGGACAAAACAAGAGACTGAAATAATAGAAAGAATTGTATGGTTTTGGAATTTGAATGTCAGCCTTCTGAATTAGGTTTTATCCCCACCTTTGCCACAGGTTCCCTATTTGACTTGAGACAAGTCAATAATATCAGTATCTTCAAGGACACATCAATGTTCACACACTGTGCTTTCAGCTAGAAATACTTGCAACTAGATTTGCAAGAATGCAGGGCTCTCAGCTGCAAGTAATGGGTGTAGAGTTGTGGCTGATATACTCCACCATGCTAAAAGTGCTCCAGAAAATCAGACCATTGAGTGCACTCAAAGTTTTATAGTGGACGATGCTGACAGTTTTAGCCCTGATTCTGTGGTTTTGTTCCTCAAGCATAAAATAAGGATGACACCACACTCTATGTCAGGAGGATAAAAAAGACTACTTGCTTCTGACTGCTCCAGCCCAACTTCTTTGTCTTTCTCGCTCTTCTTCTATTTAATCTCCATCTGCTTTCCTGGATTCTATCTCTAATTCCATTTCCTTTCTAAGTTTTCATCTCATCTCACTCCTCTTGCTTCAGATTTCCCAAGACATTGCTTCTTCCTAATTTACCTTGCTGACTGGCAATAGAAAGAGGTCCATGGGATGCCCTGGCCTGAACTATTGTATCTGGCGCCACTGAACCTTTAGAAGCCAGATGCAGAAACCACAGGGAAAGCTCACACAGTTTAAATGGATTCTTCTGAGAATTTAATTGCTAAGGACTGGGAAATCCCTGATATCCATAGGGTAACTATGGCTAATTCATTTTACTTTTTACCTTGCCCACACAGCTTCATCATTTGGCAAAATTATTCTCTTAACTTCATAAGAACCATGAATACATAGACATAAGGACAGTCCAAACACAACTGAAGAGTCCAGTTCTTTTCCCAAGGCATGAAGCCAGGCAGATTGCCACCATAGGGGTGCCTTGAATTGATTCAGGAAAGAACCAAGCTGTCCAAGGTACAATTTTCTCTTAACAGCAAGCTGAATCTAGTCAGCAGTGTGCCCCAGCAGCCTAAAGGGCCAACTGTACCCTGCAGTGCAACAGCCAAGCACTGCCAGCAGGGGAGGGGAGGACTTGTTCCACTCTGCTCTGTGCTGCGCAGCCTCATCTCGAGCACTGGGCGCGGATTTGAGCACCAAGATACAAAAAGGACATAAAACCAATAGAGAGCACCCAAAGGAGGGCAGTGAAGATAGGGAAGGCAAGACATACAAGGAGCGCTGAGGTCCCTTGGTTTGTGCAACCCACAGCACCTTGAGGAGCTGAAGGGAGGCCTGCAGCTCCTCACAGGGAGCGGAGGGGCAGCGCTGAGCTGTGCTCCGTGTGACAGCGACAGGGTCCGAGGGAACGGCATGGAGCTGCGTCAGGGGAGGGGCGGGTTAAATGGTGGGAAAAGTTTCTTCACCAGAGGGAGGTGGACACTGAAACAAGCTTCCCAGGGCAGCAGGGCCAGTCCTGAGCTGCTGGAGTTCATGAAATGTTTGGACAACACTCTCCTTTTAGTCAAACGTTTGAACTCTGGGTGGAGCTGTGTGAAGCAAAGAGATGGACTTCACAGTCCTTGTGCGTTCCTTCCAACTTGGGGTATTCTATGATTCTATGAAATTCAGCAAACTGAACGCTCTTCACAGCCCACACTCAACAAAACATTACAGATCCTATCTAACATGATGTAGTCCTTTAAGTTGAAATCCACAGAATGCTGGCACCTTAAGTTCTTTGTTGAACTTGGATTTGTGAGTGGTTGTTTTGTATCTCACCTTCAGCTCTTGAAACAGCAAATGTTGTGGAGGCATTCCCTTAGAAAGGGAGGCAGCAGCAATCCTTGTGACCTCCATACTCCTCCATCTGCAGGGTGAATGGTTTTATTGAGGATCATGTCTATTTGGATTAAAGGTGATCTACAAAACTTTAATACATTTACTGGGCACTGCTTAGTCAGGGAAAAAAAAAAGGAATAAATAGTACTTGTACTGGCTTTGTTTCTAAAATGCTATTAAAAATCCAATAAAATTGAATTTTATATCATTTGCTATCTGTTCCATTTAAGCTCTCAATTCATGCTTAGTTTGCTTTCTTTGTTGTTTTTTTAAATGTACATTATGCCAGAAAATAATATGGCAAGTTAAAAACAGGAAAAAAAATCAATGATGTGATGATTGTCTGTGATGGTGTCTTGTGCTGATGCACTTCAGCTGGAGTTCTGTTGCTCTTTGAAACAATTCTGGAAAATACCACGTAATGAAAATTCTCCAGGCTATCTTGACAATAAGCCTCAGTTCTTTCCTGGCAAAAGCATCCCTAGAGATTGAGCATTCAATATCATCATGTATTCATTTTCTGGACTCTGCTGTAAATACTTCACTTTCATGCCAAATCTCTATGAAGATCCTTCAAACTTACATCAGGAAAAACTAAAATTATATTAAGTACCCAGACTGGAGTAAAATAAGTTATGCGTGACACTGTATTTGTAAAGGGTATTTTTTTATCTGGGAATTACAGATGGAAATGATTTCTCTATTGTAAATTGATGTCCATTAAAATATTATTTACTTTATGGAATGAATAAAAATCATGGTAACGGCTTTTCCTAACTTTCTGTATTTAAAATGGATAGAATACAAATACTATCACATAATTGTATAGTTACGCCTCTTCCAGTCACAAGGCATTCTACGAGATAATTGTTTGTATTTAGTTAATACAGATTTGGGTGAGGAATACCACAGAATCTTTTTAATAGCCAACAACCAACAGTAACTTTTATCAGTCTGAAGTTTCACTACTAAAGGAAATCACTTTTAAAATCAGTAAATTAAACAGCTTATCTAAAACAGCAATGAATAGGAAAATCATGTGTATGTGTTTGCCTTGCTGCTTATGATCACTAGGAATAATATTTTATGGCACCGAGCAGTAGAATGAGCTTTTCCCCATATGTATCATTGTTGTTCTGAATACTGTTTAGCTAGTTTCCCCTTTTTTTTTTCCAATGTACATTTTCTAACAGATTAGGTTCCATATTAAAAAAAAACTAATGACCATACATGACTTTTTTTTTCCCCATGTTTTACTTTCATCTATGCATTCAAACCAATATATAAAAACCTTACCACAAAGTTTAGTCTGGAAGACGGAGGTCAGCGTTTCAATCTGACTGAAATTAGCAACTAGAAAGATGTGCTCTTCGTGTGGCTCACTCCCAATGGACTTGAGTGTGTTCATATCCACTCTTCCCACTCCAATGGCAAAAATCAGAATTCCAGAGTTGCGAGCTTTAGCAGCAATTTCTGCCACCGGATCCTGTGGTCTCCCATCTGTCACTATCATGATAATGCGAGGCACATTTTGGTTCAAAGGTCGAGCCCCTTCTGACTCTGAAAACGCAATGTTCACAGCATACTGGATAGCCAGGCCGGTCATGGTGCCGGTCGCCAGGTGCATCATTCTCCTCACTGCTCTCTCAATCTCCTGTGTCCTTCTGAACGTCTTCAGTGAGAACTCATGTTTGACAGTGCTGCCATACTGAATCAGGCCTACTCGAGTGGCATCAGGACTGATGTCCAGGAACTGCAAGATTGTTAAAATGAACTCTTTCACTTTTTCAAAGTCATATGGACGTACACTGCGAGAGCTATCAATGATGAAGACAAGGTCCAGACGTTTGTTGTTGCAAGTATTTTCTAGAAGACAAAATGAAACAAAAATACAAGAATTTTCAAATGCAGATCGGATTGCTTTGACCTGAAGTGTCAAAAATTGTCCCTCTCTACTCTGCCCTTATGAGGCTCCATCTGAAGTACTGAGTACAGGTCTGGAGGCCCTAGCACTGGAAAGATACTGAGTTTTTCAGGAGGGCCCAGAGGAGGGCCAGAAAGATGATCATAGGGCTGGCACACCTCTCCTATGAAAACAGGCTGAGAGAGCACTGGAGAAAAAGCTACGAGGAGACCTCATGATGGCCCTCCAATATTTAAAGGGGCATTATAAACAAGAGGGAAATCAACTTTTTACATGGGTAGATAACAACAGGACAGGGGAAAGGGTTTTAAACTACAGGAGGGAACATTTATGTTAGATGTCAGGGGGAAGTATTTCACTGAGAGGGTGACGAGGTGCTGAAATACACTGCCCAGAAATGTTGTGGATGCCCCATCCCTAGAGGTGTTCAAAGCCAGGTGGGGTCCTGGGCAACCCGATCAAGTATTTGACCTAGCAGTTGGCAACGTGCAGCCAGGGGGTTGGAACCTGATAATCCTTGAGGTCTCTTCCAACACAAGTCATTCTATGATTCTGGGAAAGATGCTAAGATAATACCCTGCCAGGAGTTGGAAAGATACAGGAAAAAAAAAAAAACAGGAAATGCTATAACTAATGCTACTTGGGTAATCCAAATGTGGTTTCTGGTTAATGACAGTATCTGCCTGTTACACGATCAGTAGATTAGTTTTTTTGTGAGATTAGTGCTCAGGATGGGCACTGTTGAGATTTTGAACTCATACCCCACACATGATGGAAATCCCCTCTGAATAACATAGCTATTATTTTAGTGGGCTGCACCTTTATGCTTTTTGTTGTAGGGCCTGAGAATTCAGAAATCCTAATCAGATAGCACGTAGTACTAGTCTTCCTTTCAAACAAGGAAACAGCCACAGAGAAATACAGGTCAAAAGTATCTGCTAATTGGAGTGACTGAGATACAAAGGAACTGATTTTTCATGGAACTTGGCATTAAAGAGCACTTTGCATGTACAAAGTACAGCTCTCAGTGACGTCAACTGCAGCTGTGAGTGCTCAGCACTTCTGCAAATCATACCCCATGATTTCAAACACATAATTAATGGCCATCTGGGAAAAGCGTAGTCTACTGGACTAGCTCAGTGTCACACACAAATTCTGGGGCTGCATCAGAGATAAAATCCACTTTTCTACAATGGCATTCATTTTGGAAAAAAAGACCGCCCATACACTTCCTGTCATTTTCTCTTTCAGTTGTCAACATTGCCTTTTTTTCTTTTTTCCAAGAGCCAGAAATACCACAGTGTATGGCTGTATCTGAAAACTGCATAAGCAGTCAGACCAAACTATCGCAGGTAACAACAATCGTGGCTGCCTTCTGGGCATGCTACAAGCTTTCAAAAGCCCTGGGTACACTCACTGACTCCTGCTCAGATTGCAGTGCAGACACATGCACATGAGAACAGATAAGGATTAACCATTTGCTCATTTTGCCTATGCAGAAAGTCAGCATAGGTAGGCTTGAAGCAAGCAGGGGGATGTGAGCTCTGAACCTTGCTACAGAAGGCTGTGTATGGGAAAAGTTCAAAAGGAATCTGAAGGACTTAATAGGATGCTGGTGATGAGAAATCAACTGAAGTTTAATAGAACAATTAAAGGTAGCTAGAATCCTCATCAAACTACAGAAGAAATCTCCCCTCGCTTAGCTGAGATAACTCTAACCAGAAACCTCCCTTTCTGTGCAACTCAAGTTCCCAGAGCACTCTTATCCAACAGGGCATTGAATCAGGCAAATGCCCTGTGGAAAAAGTAGTTGTTTGATTGTATAATTAAAGGTCATGTCATACAGCACAAGTGGGCCAATCAAAGACTCGACTGGAGCAGCATCTGTCTTCAGACAAGCCTTTACTTGCTTGTGACTGCTGATGAATGCTAACCATGTATCCCTGCCAAGGAAAGGGGTGAGAAGGATGCCTATTTTCACTTGCTAACTCAGAAGCCTCTTTCATGGATTACCAAGAAAGTCTGTGGGCATGGAATAAAAATGCTCTTTGCTGACAATAAAAATGACCGCCTGGGTTTATTCATGTGCAGTCTAAAGTATGGCTTTATTCATAAGCGTAGGAATATGCTTAAGTTGCTTGGTCTTTCAAAATCAGAGCATGTTGAGTGCAAGCCAAACTGAGCAGAATAAAACTCCAGTTCTAATGGAATACAGATATCCTCACCGCTATCTTCCAACTTATGAGGTCAATTGTGTATCTATACACAATTGTGTTTGTAATTGTGTAACTATTAATTACTCTTACTAATATTCCAGAACAATTGTAATGTAAAGATAACACTGAAATAACATTTAAGCGAGCAGGACAGGGTGAAAAAGTTAATTACAGAAAGAAGTCTAAGTGTTTACGAAGGGAAAGACAGGATAGGGAGAAGGGTAAAATCACTGCTATTTTACTTTCCATAAAAATGAGAGCCTTCCTGTTGAATGCTTTTGAATTTCAGGGAGGATTTTTTATTTGAATGTATAGATTTGGATCCCAGCCTGAGGAAACTCAATTTCTTATTTTGAAGTAGCCTATGAAAAAGGGAGGGAAGAAATCTGGATAGCATTACTGGACAGTGCTACAAGAAATAAAGCCCATTTTGCTAAATTACTTATGCAGAAAAATATAGTAAGTGGGTTACTTTGAAAGTAATGCCTCCTATTTAGTTCCATGGAAACTACAACAGAAGCAAACAGCACAATAACACAGTCTAATAGAGCAAAGTCTCAGCTACAAAGCACTGTTTTTCATCATAGACATGACCACTAGCCTATCTGTGCAGATGAGCTGATCAAGACGAACTTCATTTAGTGGTATGACAGCTGTACATGGCCATCCAGAATATGGCTTGTCTTTCACACTGCTGTCACCACTGCTGAAACACACTGCCCACTGCCTCAGTGTGCCCACATCAACTTTTTGATCTTCTCAATAAATGTTCAGCAAATGGCAATAAATGTCAATGAGTGCAATTTTTTTTTGCAAAGAGGAATTCCATCACACACCTTTACTTCACACACTCTTCCACGTCAGACACAATTCCACCACACAGCAACAACACGGAACGGAATACTGGAGGGAAGATGCAGCCTCTAATGCCATACCAACACCTGCCTCAGATATTGTGGGTAGGCAGTATTACTTTCAAAGCAGTCCTTGTATATTTCTGAATTACTTCTGCTAGAAAAATCTCACCTATAGAAACGTCAAACATTTCAAAATAAAAAAAATCTTTAAAGTCTCTGTCTTGTTTTGGATATTCTTAATAACCTTATAATTATTAATGGCGATTCAGTCAACCCAGGTTCCATAAAACTCAGTGTAAATCTTTCACCAAGCAAAACTCCAGCTGGATGGTACTTTGAGGAGTGGCAATCAGTAAGGGCTAACAGATGAACACTAACCCCCTCAGACAAACTTTCCATGCTACTTTTAAGAAGTTTCACAGATTTACACTTGCCCTGTAAACCATAATCTCTTCCTCCTACCAGTTCTTATGTTTAAACAAAAACTTTTTTTACAACTTTGGCAAACGTCTTCAAATCCCAATGAAACGCCTTTCTACTCTACTTATGAAAAGTGACACATTCATTGAAATGAGCTACTCATCCAGAAACCAACACCAAAGTCAGCAAAGATTTTGAGTTGACCATAGAAAAGTTTTAAAAATAAATAAATAAATAAAGCAAAAGCCCTGAAAGTGTGAATTATATTATCCAAAACTTCAAGGCCAGGTCAAGAGTAAATGTGTTCTTCTCCACTCAATATCCAGTTTGTCTAGAAATGAGTTGCTGTCATACCATCTCTGCAAAATGAACAATGGTTCTCACTTAATGAATCCAGCTGGGATCCACTCCAGTAGGAGGGAGTATTCCTGGGCATAGGAACTGAATCTTCTATGCTGCGGAAAGATTAGAATGGTTCCTGGTACTGTTTTGCCTGGGAGATTAACATTTTTTCAAATAATACTCAGGCATGATGTGGGAATAAGCATGAGCCAGGGTCCCATCCTAACAGGCAATATGGATGCAAGCACTCTGCAAGCTTAGTATCCATCAGTCAATAGTATCAATGCAGGCTGTGTTATCTCACTGGTCTCAGTGCCAGAGAGCAGCCTATGATACACATTAAGCTGCACTCACAGCATTAAATTCACTTTCCCACTACAGCACTACGCCTCCTGGGAATAAGCCCTGATCCCCCATAACCTTTGCATCACACATGGGAATTGTTTGGGGGGTGCCAATCAACATGTGCCAGAGTCTGCTCTAGCAATTAAACAATAACAGTGGATTCCCAATGCCCAGGAATGTCCCCAGTGCTATTTTATTCATCAAACATTTCCATTTTAGGATATTCAAGCTGAACATATTCAAAGAACCCAACTTTTAGATTATGATTTTTTAAAAGTTTTTTGCAGGCCAAATCCCTCAAAAAGTTTGGTTAGAATGGAATTACTTATTTCCTATTGTCCTGTATCTGCATGATGCTATAACGCATTTTGTAATATGGATAAAACCTATTTGATAATGAGATAGATAACTGTTAAAGACAGTTTGCACGCAAAGCAAAAGGAGGTTAGCTCCATTTCTTAAGTACTACAGCAATTTTAAGATATTTAGATAATAAAAAACTGAGTTATAACAAAATACTTGTCCCACGAAGACTTTTGTTATAAATTAAGACAACTTAAGCAAAAAGGAAAGATGAGATCAGTTAAGAAAAAATGAGATCATGGAAAAGTTATTGCCTAAGTAGGCAATGCATTAATGACAATTTTAAGACTCAATGTATTGTATCTACATCACTGCAGAGTGAGCTAAGAAATACAAAACCTACACGGTGTGTGAGATTGCCAGCAATAACACCACAATTATTTTTAGACTTTTATCTTT